GCCGCGGGCTTTTTACTATTGCTCTTTCTTCCATAGTGGAGGCTTTAAATCCCATCAAATCGCTGTGATTGAATCATCATTATAGCCAGTTGGCACTCCGGTGGGCTCCCCTCTCATCCACGGAGGCAGGCGGTCGAGTAGAGATCACCGACGGCCTCTGTGGTTACAGGGGGAGTCTACTAGAGTGCCAAACGACGACCCTTGATCAACAACAAGGTCTTTGTATTGTCTTGCTGTTGCTTCTCGCCGGCATCGTCACCCGTATGTTTGGAAATCAATTACTTTCCCGTTGAAATGCACGTTGTTACCCTGGCAGTAGTCACAATGTCACACACCCACACCTCTCACGTATCGTGCTGGGGTACGAGGTACACGGAAGCCGAACCGGCAACGTGGGAGACATGATTGTCTGAAGAAGACGAGGCGACAAAAGGCCGAGTATTTTCGATTTTCAAAGGGCTTCGGCGGTGTCCAACACTTTTCCACAGAACAACATCGCACCATAACGCAACGACAGACAAGATGGACAAAATCCGTGCACGCAGTTAGTTCTACCCTCGTTTTTTTTCTTCTTCTTCTTTTGTTGGTCCCGCACTTTTCTGTGTTCTACTTCTTTCCCTACGGCCTGGCCTACGGCTAGGTGTCCGCAACGCGGTGCTCTATAGATACTATCCAGCCTTGTGATGCACTTGGCTATCATACACGCATTTTTACTACGCAGATTCGATATGCCACCTGCTCGCCTGATAGCATGCAGATTCGATACCACCATCTACTAAATCTCACAACGTCGCATTTCTGCGTGTGCGCGATGCAATGTCAGCAGGACAAAAGGCGACCCGCTTGGTGCTGGAAGGCCATTTGCCGTCAGGTGTGTGACTCGTCTCTTTTCAGACACGTACTTTGGGATTATATATGTCTTTCTGACAGATAAGCACTCGTGGCATGGGCTTGAAGATCACTCGCCTCTTCCTCAGCGCGTACTTCGATATCAGCATATCCGTCAACACCCATCCCTACCCGAGCCGTCCTCGACCTCGATCCCTGGTGGGTGGGTGGTCGTGACGGCCACGAGCCACGTCGACGGATACTGGCACAGGGTTCCCGTCCGCTGGCGATCCTGCTCGGGAGGGTAATCCCTTTGATCAACCTCTCCCCTCTTCACCTCTCACTCATTGTCCTTTCTTGTCCCATATATCTCAGTATCAGTGTCTGGGACCGCAATACAATGCAATGCAAATGAAAGAATGGATGAATGGATGGACAGACCATGGATACCGCCCCCCACCGCCACCACCACCGCCACCGCCGCCGACCTGTCCTTTCTCTACACGGACGGGACAAAGCTCAACTAGCCTGTTCCTCTCCAGCACAGCCGCAGCTGTCTGACCCTCGAGTATCCCGACTTTGTCCTGAAAGATCCCGCAGATTTCCGGTCCTCCCTCCGGAACATACCGCGAGCCACGATCGAGTCGCACCCAGCAAAGGAAGGCATCAAGAACGAGAAAGATGGTGTATCGCTGCTTCAAGGCTGTCCACACGTGGTTTGCATGTCTCGAGGCGACACCGCGCGGGATCAAGCTGCGAGCGGATGAAGCGAGGCTCGCTGGATCGATGATAGATCCAAGCCCCATCAGGAGCAGCCTCTCCCTTTCAAGACGAGGCTATCCAGCCGAGATTATTGTCCGCCGTCCAAGGCCTGACTGCGATCCACGACAGAGCAGTTCTCCCGTTCGACACCTTCATCCGCGGAATCTGGTCATCGCGTCCGACCTACAGAGCGTGCGGTTCTGCGACTCGCGGGAGGTATGCGAGGAGATGCGGGCCGTGGTGGCATCGAATCTTCGGAGGGCCTTGACTCGCTGGATAGATCTGGACATGTGATATATTGCCGCTCAGCGGCATTATGGCCCCTGGATCCGGGCCTTTTTCTTGTTTCTCTTGTCTGTGTTGCTCTTGCTCCTCTGGTTGTTCAGTACCCGTCTCGGAGGAGGAGGAGGAGGAGGAGGAGGAGGAGGAGGAGAAGCAGTAGCAGCGGTCGAGAACTGGTTCACTCGCGGATCAGTCCAAGTCTCCAAGGCCACGATGAAGGCCGTATCTCATATTCAGTATGTCAAAGGGCCACAAGAGCTGTGTTCTTTTCCTGCGAAGGTTCGGGGCCCCTGCAGACCAAATTGCCTATTTCCCCCAAAGTTGCCCACACGAAACATACGTCTCGACAGTCCGGAGGAGACATGTCCTTCGCCACTCTGGGACCTGCCGCTCTGGTTTGCGAGCCAGGAGCTCATAGGAGCCTGTTCCATTCGTCGAGGTTGTGGATCTGTGGATGGTGGATGGGGTGAAGGAGAGCGCTCAGGCGTTCCGGGGACACAAATATCTGATAATGAATGTGCATTTCAAGGTCTTTGGAGGAGCAGTGGTCTTGCAAATCAGGGGTCGAACAAAGTCCACGACATCAAAGAAGATTGTCGCAGTCGAGTATTCGTTCTCAACGTGTACACCACCAAGAGGCGTGTGTACAAACTGCCTGCGCCTCGCCCCGAATTAGGATGAGGGGTTTGACGCCGCCCTGTACTCAGCCACGGACACGACATTTCTGATTGGCGTTTCGGATGCAACATCGTGACAGCCACTGTGGCTGCTGGGGTCCGTTCAAAGCGGCATCGCCCAGCCACCGGTCCAAGGCTAGACGGCGGGCCTCCCTCGTCCTCCTAGCCTTGGGAAGCCATTGATGGGTATACTCGTGATAGGCCGAAGAAGGCTGATCGGTATATACAGCAACGTGATGGCTGGGACCTTGGACCTATTATATTTGGCTATATATATCGAATGGCCAGATTGCCGTAACGCCTTTTCGGTCTTGATCGCTTCGTCGTTGTCCGAGTCCCCAGCACTCATTATGGCTTGTGCCACATTGAAATAGAGGCGCTTGTGCTGCAGTTGAACCGCACTCTACACCTATGCGGGTATCCAGCCATCGGAGGAGGTGATGAGATAGTCTGCCACTTATTGACGTAGCCTGTGGACCGTAACGAAGTGTCGGTACTTGGCTTCATGAACGGAATGGTGTTTGGCGCCCAGTATCGCGAAGGGACACTTCCCACTGGGCCCCCAGTCTTCCCACTCGTATGAAATCTTGACCAGATCATGTCGCAACGCAACAGCACCATCGTTCCATGTTCGAAGCGAGTATTGATAACAGGCGGAGAAGGCGTCCATCTACGGACTGCACGCGAGCCAAGTTTAAGAAATAGGTTTCCCATGTATCGATCGAACGCTCTCGCGCATGCCACGCTATCAGCATATGTCGGCTCATCGGGCTGATCAAGGTAGAGTCGCAGAGTCAGGTCTTGTGGCAGAGCCCCGAATGCCGGATCGACACTGGACGACTTCTAATCATGAAGCACGCGGCTTTAGTGTGGTCGTCAGCGTCGACGAAGATATTCCGCACGTTCAGATCTGAATGAAGCAATACCGGGGTTTCGAGGACGCGGATCCTCGGATCATTCGACATTGCATCCAACAGTAGACGTCCTTCTTCAAGCACTTGAAGATCCGTGACAGGAGTTCCGAAGTAGGGTGGTCGACGCTCCAAGCCATAGTCATGCAGTAGGATTCTTGAGATTCCGGCATCGGGATCAGCCTGTTACTCCAAGTCCATACCTCGGCCCTGATTAAGGGTTTATAGAGCCTGGATAAATATCGCACGTTGAGATATGTACATAGGCCCGTGTTTGGCGGATGCTGGTCGTGATATCGACGGCCTCTAACATTGCAATCTCGTTGTCCAGCCATCGTCCCATTCGTAGATGTCTGTTCTGGGGTATTCTCCAATGCCATTCCACTCCAAGTAGAGATCGAACTGGCGCCGGGATAGAATCGGACCACTTGTCGGCGACGGGCGTCAAGGCTGAAAGAAATGTAACGGGCCTGCTTGGTGCGTGGGATCGTGCCGGAACCATCTACCTCCCACGGACTTGCCGCAACGTGGCTGATCCACGCGGTGGCTCCTGTCTTTAGCAGCGCCATGCAAGGCGAGCGTGGACTGCAGCTTAGGTCGGCATACCTCGAGGGAATGCAATGCGCCGTTTGTAAGTCTCATGAAATTGATTAGGCAAGGAAATCTATCTAGCGCGTTTTACAGTTTTGTTGTGTGCCGCGGTGGAAATTATTCGGCTAACCTTCCCAATAGGGTTAGGGCAACACCGTTGACCATCGCTGCCGAACGATTGCTGTTTCGTGCCTGTCAATCGGGCCGTATGGCTTTCCGACTGGGACGTCGGCATTGATTGCTTTTGAAGCAATCAAAGAGTTCCTGACAGGACCCAGTGGCCATAGCCTGAGAAGGGTCATTCTTGTTGTGACCACCCTCCACGAGGCGGAGGTCTACGCGAGGTGACGGAAGCTCACCGGCGAGGGGGGAGCTCCGGCGGACCCGTGGATGGACGGGATGAGGCGCCTACAGCTAACGTGCGCGAGACCGGCATCCTCGAAGAGGTCAGAGTTGCGGGTTCGGGGGCCACCCATGTCAATGATAACCGATTCGATCGGTGTGGTGGCTGCCAACATTGCATTATCATCGTCATGTATCGTTGGATGTTAGTCTCGATGAAAGCGCCACGACCGAATCTCAGAAGCCCAGGGCTTGTGTATGTGTATGTGGCCAGCCTGTGTCGAATCACATCTCGCTAGCTTTGCCATTGCGCCTCTCGCGCCAGCATCGGGTATCGGAGTATTATTCCCATTGTTATAACCTCTTGGAGGAACTATTCCTGAGTTGGCATGCACAGGTGCGACGGTTTGGGAACTGGCGGGAGTTCCGCTGTCTCTCAGTCCTCCTTCAATCTGCTCTGCACTTTGTTGCGGAGAATCATGTAGCTTCGTCTGTATGACCTCTCGGGCGTAGAGCTTGCGTAGCGTCCATAGTTGGTCCAGTTGGGATTCCGGAATTCCCTCGAGAGTAGGGTCACCGATGGTTTGGAAGACACGTCTGAGGACGGTCATCGGTGCGCCACACCAAAGACCTGGCTCTCTTTGAAGTGATCCAACCCTGGGATGAAGCTCTTGTCACAACAGTCGGGGAAGAAGTCCTGCAGGGTATACCGCCGGTATAGGCCGCCGACCGCGTGAGAAGACACGAGCTCTTCTCTCTTGAGATATTCTGAATACATCTGTGGTGTGGGAACCATTCGTGGAGGAATATCCCCTTGCTGTTGCGCAGTATCAATTCGATTCTGATAGTCCTGGCGCTCACAATCGATGAAATATTCTAGCTCCGTAAAAATGAAAGTGAAGCCCGGTTGGTTGATATCGTCAAGCGCTCGGTGGCACGAGGGACAGAGAGGAAGACCGTTTTGCTCATCTCCAAGACGATCAAAGATCAAGAGACCGGAGGCAGCATCGTGGCTGAGCTATTGAAAGTCAGCCAACTAGATGAATCACTGGTGACCCAGGCGATAGTATCCCCTTGTCCTGCTTGCGACGACATACCGAGTTGTCCTTCTTGCTTATCACACGAGCAATATCTGGCGCTGCCCGACCGTAATGCCAGCATTTCATGCCTCCATTCCGCTCCAAAATCTCTTGCTTAGTCCCTCCTCGAGAAGCGTGCCGCTGACGCTGTGCTGCTTCGGCGTCACTTTCGGCGTCACTTTGCTTCCTTGTGCGGCTTGAGCTAGACGAGTTCGATTCGGCAGATGATGGAACAGGTGGTGGGAGCATTTGCAGCTGCTAGGGGAGGAAATAAAATAGCGCAGACTGACAGAGAGGAGACGCCTTGTCGGAATTCAGCTAGTCACTAGGTAGTGATGGGGCATCCGCTCCTGGTTGCTATTTCTCGTCAGACTGCCACTCATTTTTTGACTACCAGCTCGCAGCCCACCTGCGCGACATGTCCTGCCCAGAAGGACAACTGTCGATATAGACCCCCTCTGCTCCCATTCCGCTCGCAATTCTCATATTCTATCTACCTTTACTGACACTTCGTCCAAGTCTGTTACACCTTACGCAGAATATCAAGCTTCGCCAACCCCCCAACCTCGAATTCGTCTGCGCTGTGTGCCATGACCAATGGTCCACTGCCCCCTTCTTCGGATTCCAATGTCTACGTTGCGGGTCTTGTATCAGTAAAGTCCACCGATACACCGGCCGACGCCATCCCTCACCTCCTTCTATTGCAAAGCATACTGTCACCCTCCCTGCCGACATGACCACCACGACCACATACCCCGACCCATAGCCGCACTTGATCTACGAGTCGAACCCCTACGCTGATGACCTCCCAATGACCGCACCGCCTACGGGATGACGGGCTACATCCACCGGCTCGATGAGGACCGAGTCGCCAAGGTGGCAAAGACATACTCGCTGGACCATCATGTCGGAACGCCGGTCTCTGATGACACGGAGTATATAAACGAGGTCAACCGCAAGACACTCGAGAACGAGGTCGCCATCTACAGACGGCTGGGCCGCTGTAAGGGAGCCGTATCGTGCGTCCAGACGTCAAACTATGGGATCGAGTTGGCTTTCGCAAAACAGGGCGACCTGGAAGACTACATCAAATCTGCGCCTGAGCCGCCGAAGCCCTTGAAGGTTGACTGGATTCTATCCATCATTGATACATTCTCTTACGTCCATTCCCGGAGAGTCTTGGTGAACGACATTGCCCTCCGGAACATCTTGGTCAGCGATGGACAGCTCAAACTGGCAGATTTTGGCCAGTCCATACTGATACCTATGTCGACAGATATGGACACGGTCTGCGACAATGATTTGACGGCGGGAATCGAGATTCTCCATCTTGGCTGGGTCATCTCCTCGATCGCTGTCTGACGCGTATATCCATGTTACTTTTTCGACAGAGAACACGACATGCGGTGGCCGGCTCCGTAAGAATTGCCTGCGACAGAGAACCTTTTCTGCCGGACCATTGTCGAGAGATGCTGGCGTGGACAGTACATTGAGATGGAAGCACTAAAGAGTGACGCTCATGGGAACACTCATCATCGGCGTAGAGAGCATTCAACCCTTTTGACTGTAGAGCTTCCAAATCGCCATTCCATGGATTCAGGGGAGATTCTTCTATCTGCCTTGGCTTGACACGACGCCCTAGCAATGAGTGCCCATGACACAGGGGAGGGAAAGGGGGCGAGGAAGAAGAAGGAACCATTCAGAATGAGTGATGGCGATGGATTCGGTCAGGTATTTCTGGTGCCTTGAGGGATATATGTATATATCACATCATGGATCTATCTCCTCGACAAGGTGCCCAATCTATCCAACCTATCTTACCCAGCTGCCGTGAACCTACGACTGCCGAACTCGTGCTTGTACGCAGAGAGAAGGCTAAAGCCGAACGCCGCAGTCCTTGATACCTATCATCAGCTTGCACTGACAGAAGAGGGGTGGTTCGATACGAAGGTAGCCGGGTTATATATTCAGTTGCTCTGCTACCAGCCTACCACGAATAGTGGCGCCACTGGTGCTAGATGGAGGTACATGGTGCCACTGCTGTAGGTAAGTATGCATTATTGAAGATGCATTATCTCATGCCTTGCGCGTCTTGCTTGCAAGGACCCCAAAAGGACCGCAGGGCCCGCGGGTCTCGCAAGGATGTCAGAGAATGTCAGAGAATATATTCATCATAGTGGTCTATTAGCACTGATTTACAATCGTTATCCAGAATTTTGTAGTGAAACTGCCACAAATAGTTCCAGCAAGGACAGAAACTTCCACCTTGTGTACACCGATGCATGGACTTTGGAGTTTTGAAAGTGGACAGCAGGCGGACGGCAAATCAGCATGAGCATCAGTATGAGCATGAACATAACCCGCAGAGCAATCCATCGTTCAACACCATGTCCGTGACAAGTCATCCAACACCATGTCCTGGCGGAATCGTTGAACGGCATATCCTCCTGGAGGACAAAGGGGAGCGCTTCACTCTGGCGGCCAAACATCGGAAGTGCCCGCCACGTGACATGATGACATCGAGTGGCGTTGAATCACGTGCCCCTCATCCTCGTCCTCATCCTCATGCTTGGGCATGCTCAGTTGCGATTGTGGGTGAGTTCCTACCCATCATAGATGTCCCTCGCGGCGTGCAATTCCGGCCTGTACTTCCCCCCGACCCTCCTGCCGACGAGCTTGACTGTTGGGTCGAGGTCATGATTCATCAGCGGGAAAGATGTTGCCAATCCTCTCGAGGTTGAGGATGACCACCTCGATCTTGACGCAGGCGACGAGATCATCTCTCGTCAATACCGGACACCGTCCGTTGAGATGGGTGCCGAGGGGAACCAGTTCTCCAGAGATGCGGCCCGATATGATCACCCTTTGTGGTATGCGAGCTCGCCGGACTTCTTCCGCGACGGCTTCCAGACCTCGGCCCTTGCCCTCGTATATCCGAATGCGAGGCAGTATCTCGGGACGGCGACGTGCATGGCGTTCAGATGACGTTATAGAGAGTCAAATTGATTCATCTTTGAGAGACTCTTAGTTTATTGAAGAGAACCTAAACGGCAGAGTATAAATGAGGATAAAGTAGAGGATACCATGAAACCTCGTACGGTAGTCTGCCCATTTTTAGCTGTTTATTTAATGATAACGATACTAATGTAGTTCCAGCCCCAATTCCTTGGCCAGCTTTGGAACGAGGCCACTCCGAAGTCTCCCACGGCCGTCTTTCTGCAGGTTCGTTGAACCAAACGGAGTGAGGATAGTCGCAAAGTAAATCCAGAGTAGGCGTTTTCATCCGACAAGGAACGAACTGTCTGTGCAGCGTTCTGGTAAAACTAAGCACTGCTGCCTTTCATCTTTCGTAGCAACGTCAGTCCAAAGAGCCGGCCGCCGCGAACGACTTTGAACAACTGCTCGACTGCCGCGGAACTACAGATGGACTTTGCCATCTGTAAGATTGGAGTCGTCTCAGCTATTTTCTGAGCGGGGAGATTCGAACCAGCGGCAGTACATCTCCTTTTGCCGCCGGAGCTTGCAGCAGACGCTGGACCTCTGCGCCTTTTTTGGGGAGACCTGAAATTCTCGTTTGACTCAGGTTCGTCTTCTTCGTCCGCAAGAGGCAATCCAAGCTGTATCTCGCCTGGGGCGCGGAACTCCAAGTACTCATTGGGAATAGGAAATCCAGGACACTTGCGTTTGCATTCAGAGTAGCCGTCAATGCTCCAACCGGGGGGAGCATAGTTCACCGCCTCGGCACGAGAGTAGCCAAGGGTACCTCCGTGGTGGTATATATCTCCAGACACCACAACGACCTCGTTTGGACGCTGTACCATAGTGACAAACGAGACACCCATGGCTTTGAGCTGTGATGTCGAAAACCAGAGAGAGGCATGCCGCACCTTTTGCATACATTTCCTTTTCTTGACAGCTTCTTCGATGAGGTGGCTATGCATTCGAGCCACTATATACCAGAGCTTCAGGCCCTCATACAACGCGTTGAGAGACAGCAGGTAGCCGTCTTCACGGTGCGAAGAGAAGAGTGATCCGTGGCCGCCCGATATATACCCATATGGAGCATGAACCCCGGCGATGAATCTTCTCGTGCGATCGAGTTCGTTGTGTTGAAGGGGATAGATGGGCGAAATTGGTGGCAAACCGAGATTTTCTCGGTCTCCGGGTGTCCAAGCCGCAAGATCGGTCAAGTACTGCATTTTATTCATAGCCTGACGGTCGGTAACACGGCGCTCCAATGTTTCGACATACTCATCATGCGGTATGGGTGTGAAGTCAAGTTCGCCGAGATCCAACACCTCATCTTCTCGTTCGCTCCGTGCAATGTAACGGGAATGCTTCTTGTAAGGCCGGGACTTGAATTTGGACACACCCGGAGGGAGGTTGAGGATAGGCCGCAAGCCTCTCACCACAGCGTCCGGTAATACGTACTTGAAAACTCCGGTGTCGTAGGCGCCCAGTTCCTTAGCCCGGGATATAAGCAATGGCAGATCCTTACACTGCTCGGGGCTGGGCAAAAGGACGATTACTCCGTCCTCTTCCCGATGAGGAATCGTGGTTCCAGGCAGAGGTTGATCGGGCGGAGAAGGGGGTGCTATCGTTGCCCCTGCATTAGGCGCTTGGCTGCTCAGCGTAGACGTCTTTTGAGTGCGTGTCACAATCTTCCTGGCTCTTTGCTCTATTATTATGACGCCGTCGCATAAATCGTGACACTGGTTTGGCCTTTCACCTGCCGTGGAAGGTGGAATTTCAGCAGGACGAGTCTCGCTTGAAGGGGGGCCTTCATCTGAGGCGTTGTCTGACGTCGACGGGAGGATTTCAGCAGGGCGGGTCTCGCTTGAGGATGGGCCTTCGTCTGGGGCGTCATCTGACGTCGATAGTAGGACTTCGGAATGGCGATTCTCGCTTGAAGGTGGACTATCAGCCGGGGCGTAATCTGGCGTCGGTGTTTGAGGTGGAGGGGCAGCGGATGCAGCTCCAGCTTCCCCGTGGGTAGCACAGACTTCAGCCCGCCTCTCGACATGCTGCAGGCCGTCCTCTAGCTCTCCTATCAGGGAGCGGTATTCGGTCCAGTTCGTTTTGTGCGGTGTGGCCTTGGCCGAAGACATCTCCATGTCCACCATCGTCGCGAGCCTGACAACCCGCTCTTTCACCCAGCGGACGTCTGCCAACACGTTGTCCATCGTGTCTTGAGCGATACGCGGAGACTTCGGTAGCGAGAATGACGTGGTGTAGCCCTGCAGTAGGGAGGTCGGTTGTTGAGATGGGATGTGTTTTGCGTTTTGCGCTTGGACTGTTTGGGAAAGGCGTATCTTGGCACCAAGGCTGGGCGCTCAACATTTGAAGCCGAGAGATGGCGGTCACGTGCCCGCACACAACCTACCTGTAGCAGGCTGCAATCGTGAAGATAATCCTGTCTCGCAAGTATCAGTGAATAAAACGCCTCGCACCAACCTGATCATGGTTCCGAGTACTTGGACTCGGCAAGAACAGAGCAAGCCGGGATCGCCGGAGGCGTCGAATCCGGGTTGGGGACCGCCGTCACGTGGAAAGCAGCGGAACGAAGTCGTGACATGGATGGGCATTATCAGACAAGTTTCTGCTGCGGCAGACTCGCATTTGTGAGCAGCACACTGGCTGGTTTGCTGACGCGGTGCAGGATCTGATCTTCCTGGGAAAAGGCGAGTCCCTCTCACGATGTGTATCAAGAGCGCCGTCACAAACTTGATATCGAATGTGAGGTTGCGTCCATCTGAGCTCTTGACGGCAAAAACCTATGATCAAGACCGGGTCGGGGTCTCGGAAAATGTCCACGCGCTGGATGATACATTTCTGAAAGCATCAGTCCCGGGTGGAGGACGTTTGGCTCGGACCGACCCCGTACCCTCTCAAAGCCACCCAAGAGCGAGAGTGATTCTCGTTCTCTTGAAACATGAATGGTAACTGTAGTGATGATCGGAGTCGACATGGACGTGGAAGGTCGTGCCTAACACACAAGTCGGCTCAAGGGCAAAGTAGTCACCGGAAGCGAACACATCTCGCGACACTCCATGTCAAAAGCAGTAACATTGACACAGATGTGTCAGTGATTCTCCAACAATGTCGGCAAACTGGAACTCCTTCCAGCCACCTACCTGGCATCAGCCTCGGGAAGTGTCTGAGTCCGGTCGATGCGTCGTCTCTTCCACACCTACCTCTTCCATTTCTCGAATGATACGATCGATGTACCCTCCTGTACCGCTTCGATAGAGAATCCGCGCAATGGCATGACGGATAGCAAGAGACCAACGGTCAGCGTATGTCAGAAGGGAGTGAGGAAGAATGTATGGCACTTCCACATCCTCCAAGTCTTTAGATCTGGTATTGCGGAATAGATATCCATCAACGTCTTGTGAGCTATAGCTCGTGTCCTTCCCTGCGCGTCTCCGCTTCGTCGAGATCAAACCTGCGTGGGATCACGCATGTGCAGCGATCGCGATTGAGACATTGCTATCGCAGGGATGCAATGCGCCGTGAAGAGCCAATAATGGGATCGGAGTTTTGCATCGCGGAGAGGGATACAGGGAGGGTTTGGGAGTATTCTGACCAGAGAGGCTTTCACTTGAATGAATCAGCATCTCGTCATCACATATGCATGAGATCCAACACGCGGCGGTAAGGAATCGTCCACGACGAGGTCTGAGAAGGTGAACGGACTCCGTTGGAGCTCGATCGACTGCCCATAGCTCCAAGGGATCCAAATCATCAAAGCGAGACCAGCCATTCGGGCAAGTGTGGCTGATGGTCAGGCGGGAGAGGTGTGTTTCGAGGAACGAGAAGAGGCGTAGTCCGATTTATGGAGTAACACGGAGCAGGGGGATGTGTGAGTCGGCTCTGCGGTCTGCTTGAGGGGTTCACATGGACAGATGAGATGGTTGAAGAGTTGGATCGCTCGAATTGATGAATTGGGCTCGATAACAGTGGGAAGAGAAGGTTGAAAAATCGTGCAGCGATGAAGTGAAGTTGCAATGGTGTGATGGGGTGGTCAGCATTAACTACGATTTAACGAAAGGTTGTGGCACCCCAAGTGGATCGGGGGGGTTGAGATGTGAAGAAAGGGGAGCCAGATCAGCACAAGCACCCAGACCCACGGGTCGGGTAAACCGGCAAATTGGTTGGGCTTGTTATTTAACACCGTCGGGTCCAAGCTTCCATTGGGCTTCAAAGTCTGACACCCAAGGCCTCTAGTGCAAGAAGGGAGGACGAATAATATTTCGGACTGTTGGGGCACATGAATCAAGTCAGGCAGGGTGTGGGTGGGTGTCAGTCCTGAAGAAGATCGTCGCCCGCCACCCGGCTCTACCCTTATGTCTGGCCCAGGCCTTGGACAGACACCGCCGTAAACATCTGTGTTTTAGACACTTGGCTGAACAACTGATTAATCTTTCAATTATTTGATTGTACTTACCTCGTACATATTTCCGACCCGCCCTGATGCACAGCGGCAGCCCTGTGTTGTCACTTGGGGATCTCAACCTCTGGGGCCACTCAGCGGGAAGGAAATCTAAGGGGACGTCATTAGCGCCGCTCGGCGGCATCATATCACGTGATGAGAGACGATTGTCTTTACGCCGCGAACCGCTAGATTGAGCGTGCGCCTTTGTCCTCCTTTGACACATTCTCGACAACTATGCTTTCGCTGGCCTGTTCGCGTGCTCAAGTTGGATCAGCTGTGCGCCCCGAGGTATACATACACCAGGCGCCATTCGCCCATGCCGGGTCAGGTTTGAAATGTCGTCTGTGTTGGGCATTTGTTGACCAATTGTCCTGGTCAATTCTTGAGAGCCTCTTCCTGGTTTGGCAGCACAAAGATCTAGGCTGCGAGTTTCTTCTCTCAGGCGAGTCAAGGCCACTTCTCACTAGTCCACTGATGCCAGTGCCGCCACAGCGAACAATTGCATTTCAAAGAATTTCTTGTAGGTCTCGTATGCCGATGCGAGCCCGTCATTCTCGTCGCTTTGGGAGTAATCGCAAAAGCTGAACACTCCGCGTGATGCTACAAAGGCCGTGTTACAAGGGCCCAGCTACAGGGCTACATGAATTTCAGACTCCGCGGAGACTGAGAGACGCATGCCCAGCACACGCCTGAAGGTATTGATAACCAAACCGGAGTGAGGCTCTTCCATCCCTGGCACAGTCCGCAAACAGAGTGGAAGTTACGACGCGGAAGGTGAAGTTCCTATTGATGTGACACCAGTTTATTGACCACCCAGTTGTTGAGTCACTTGGGGCAGCGCCGTCGCTGGTTGACGGCCTTGACACAAAATCACAAGAACGCAAGGGAAACAGCCTGACTGTTTCGGTCTTCACCAGTATGCAGGATGCAAACGAAAGTCAACGGCCTTTTAAAAGCGTCACGATGCCACCCACCCCTTCCACTTTCCTTTTCTCTTAATTCGACACGGTAATCAGGCTCTCGGCTTCAAAACTTTGTAAGAGACGTCGATATATATGATATATATCAATCGATTCACGATATTCCTGAGGGAATTGTTCCGTCTGGGCAGTGGAAAAGCAGTGTCTCTTCGAGACAGAACTGTTAAGAAAAGCGACAACTACGATATCGTCGCCGAAGCTGGGAAGATCAAACCGAAGGACTTTACAGATCCTGGGACTTCCCGAGGTGAGACTAGAGCATCATGGTGTATGCCGTGTTACTGAGGAGCCGGAGAACCCAACGGTGCCTCGATGCGCACTAACACTCGTGATCTACAACATTTCGTGGAGAATTACATAGGCAGGAATGTTCTTGTCTACACCATCCCCAAAGTTTTGCTGCGTTACAGTCTGAGATCCCTGCTTAAGGAGGTCTAACCAATGCCAGACACAAAACTGCCAGATGACCTTGTTCTTGTCCACGATCGGAAGATCATTACTCCTTGCAGCCAGCGCGAGAGATGACCCTTACAGGTTTCTTTCTTCGTCCTCACATGGAAGGCTGGGGCTGATACTCGCAGAACTGAACGCGAAGACCGGTACTTTTCGTACCACCAAATCTCAGAGTATGACGAGAGCAGGACGGCAGGAGAAATATCCCTCAGCAACGGAAAATCATAACCTGCGCCATTCGCGGCATGTGGCGCTGCTCCCTCAAGACCGCTGGAACGCGGTGCGATTGTCAGATATGGTTGTAAATCGACCCCAATACCACTACTCCAGTGCTCAGTGCTTGTGGATATTCACGGGGAAACCAAGAAGCTTTGGTGCAAAATAACACGTAAACTCGTTGTTCTCCAATGCAAATCACTCTTCTTCAAGCTTGCCATCGATCCGAATCCCTATTTGCTGCAGCACTGCTGTAATCGTTCTTTTCGAAGCACTCTTCAGCATCAAAGATTGTCGCATGGGTTGCATAAAACTCGCTGAGGACAGTATTGAATTCTGTAGGGATATTTAGTAGTGTATGGAGAGTAGGCAAAGGTAATGTCAACCGTGTGGCTTCATCGGACGCAACGATTGGAGCGCAAATAGTTGAGGATAGTCATAGAAGGCGAGGAGAGGTGAAGGGAGAATTGTCCTTGGAGAACGTTGTCAGTTTTGTCTCCGCGTAGTATCATCGGAGAGTACCTTTTTGGATGCTGATAAGTACAGGCCTGCTAGTCTCGTCCTCTTCGCAGTATTGATCAAAATCATCTCTCCATATATGTTGCATCAAGAGAGTGTTGGGCCCGAACAGAGGTCCATTAAACGCTGGAGAAATGTGAGTGCGCAAGTGGCGAGTAAATCACGTCGTCGATACAGACTTGGTCTTCCTTGGGACACTCTTGGGTACACTAGACCATCGCTTGACACCAGAACGCGGCCGTTGACTATATCGTTCTCTACATAGGGAACGAGATCCGATTCTGGTGTAAGGTGAAGTCGGTACCCAGTGGCCGCAAGGCGAGAAGACGAAGGGGGCGGAAGTCGAGACCGCGAAGGGGCTGTCGCAAGCTTTCGGCAGTGCCGAGATAGCTGCTGTATGAGGAGAATAGAGAACTATTCTTGAAGCGCATTGTGAATGTCATGGTAGGTTGTCTGCGTTGTCTCAACTGCGCCCGCAGCCCGCAGCCCGCAGGTTACATCGCCGGCGAGACGTCAACAAGGGAGGTTTGCCGACACGGTGGTGAGCGGCTAAATTTCCCTAATAAGTATTCTGACACTAGTGTCGTGACGCCGCGAGGTTAATGACGTAGCCTCACGGCACGAGAAAACATTGCCTGCGATCGATCGTGACATTGATCCTCGTCGGCAAAAAGCACAACGCATTGTCCTTGCCTGAGCGTCTGAATGAGACCTTGGTTGATATGTCGAACTCCTTCTCCGTCATTCTCTCTTGACCGAATTTAGTCTACGAGAAATGCCCTCCGCAGCTCCTCCCTCAAAGTGTTTGCTGAGCCACCACCTCCAATTCCTCCCCGCGTCTGTACCTCGTCCATTACCGCACATCGGTGATTCTGCGGATAGAAGAGGAGGTTCAATTGGAAAATCACAACGAAAATGTCCAACAAAGACCGCCTATACATTTGTCGCCATGCAAGAGGAGGACAGCCAAGACTGCGTGACCTGGAAGATACGTGAGTGAGATTCGAGCACTGCATCTCCGGCAGTAGATTGCTTAGCAACTTCCGCCGAAATAGCTATCATTGGGCTTTCATGATCGGCCCTAAGGTGGAAGAGCCGGACAAGGACGGCGTGCGATACCGTGCAAAAAACAAGGTGACCCAAGACGGGATACATTGGGAGTTTGAGAAGGGAACTGTGCCTCTCCGACCAACCAATATGTTGTTAGTGCGGGTTTTGATCGGCAAAGTCGACGACCTGTCCCGTCTTGATGCAATCTTGTGCCGAACCCCTGTGAAAGACGGGGCGAAGGACTGGAACTGCGTGGCGTGGCTGAAGGATGCTCTGGAGCTTGTGGGCAAGGACAAAGCTGCTCTCGGAACAAGCGTCATTCCGTGGGATACTGTTCGGAAAGCCGCAATGGAGTACTGCAATCAGAAGAGGCGGCCGGACGGTTCTCTACACAGTATGATCCAGGGAAGATTCCAACCTACGACCTTCTGGAGCGCAAAGAGATAAGTTCTTGAGAGGCTAACTACAGAGAATTCCTCCCACTGCCGCGGCCTCGCCTTCTCCATTCCCGGAGCTTCAGCTTACGGGCCTGAGAGCGTTTCGACGTATCCAGCCCAAGATGGTCTGGATAAATTTGACGCGCAGTTGTGTACTCCCAGTACGGTGGCCGCCAGCCAGTGCTCTCGATCAAAGATGCCGACTATAGTGTCTCCGTGCACCAGGATACACAAGCTACTCAAGTCTCCACGACTAAATACGGGGGATTCCCCTCTAGCTTTCAAAACTTGATCGTCTCCTCGATCTCTGGAAGTTCCGGCGGCGCATTGTCGACACCGCTGCGGAGGAAACAATCGAAGTCATCGCTATGGCAGAATGGACCATAACGCTGCATGCCATACGGTAGCCTGCAATCCCACAATGTGCTCCGCCCACGCTGGCCATCTCTTTTCCGAATGCCGTTATCGAACGCGTCTCGAGGATGTACACTGGGAAGCGGAGGAGGATTTGACAAGACTGCCACGCGATTACTATACTCTTTCCGCGGAGCTTCTGCACCACGATATATGTAACTCCATTCCGTCGAAGAGCGCAGTTCCACTTTGGGGGTCGGAATCGTTCGGGTTGTCTTCACCGCCGTGAGGTCCCGAGACCTGCCATGCTCGATGCAGAAACGAGGAAGAAGAAGGACAAGATGCTTCTAGGAGGAACGTAGGACGCGAATGGCGGTAAGGACTGGTGGACGACGCGACTAGGCGTCATTGATTGAAATAAACAAGAGAGCTTAACCTTGGTAGAAGCAGACGTATGATCTCCCTGTCGGTCTAGTCTTGCATGACAAGCTGCCGCAGTTTCGGAGATTCAGAAGTTTGGTCTTGGCAAGTTGGTCACGTTTGTATGCCTGGTCGCCGCAAGGCCGCAAAGCAGACATCGACCAAGGCGTTTGTTAGCTGCGGTTACATATTCTCTTCGGCAGTTGATGATCGGGATCCTTTGGCACTGAATACCACTTCCCAGACCTGTACCGAGTCAGGCCGAGCTACAGCGGAGAACAAGTCGACAGAAAACTGAAAAATGCGGCTCAATCGAGAGCGCTTTTCTGTGCGACGTGTCCTGCAGCCCAGAGTATGCCGATAATATCGTTATCAGGACTCGGTCAACCAGCGACCCGTGGTAGGGAAGAATGGATCTGGACCAGAATGGTTCAATAGTGTGTCTTGCAGTTTTTGGAAAATACTTCTCATCGCTCTCACAGGCGGGAAATTCCTCTTCGAGAGGCCCATTGAGCGAAAATTCGCGAGTTGATGATCAAAGAAGGTACTGTATCTAACAATAGGCGTGAAGCAAGAATCAATCGACGTGGAATACCCTCTCGTATTAACAGACATGAGTCTCAGGATGTGATATTGATACTCGACAAATTTGGAAGGCCTACCGAGGTTTACGTCACCATCCCATTCAGACTAGTGCGGCTTCAGCCTGCGCCCGTCGAACCCTCGCCGCGTCAAGATATCGACACCGTCAGTCACATCGTCAATGGCACGAAGATATCCCCTCAAAAATGGACTGGATGTCGCTGCAGCCCTCAGCGCCCTGCGAGCATTCGCCCGCCAGACGTCCTTTGTGGATTATGGGGCAGGCGTCAAGACGTGTAGCGACAAGGCCGCTCTACGGCCACTTGCCAAAGCCCTCGGCCGGAAAGTATCAACCCCATCACGGCAGGTGAGAGAATACTCGTGGAATTCCCATCGACTCCCTCTGGGAGTGATGGAAACGCTAACGCAGAACCTCGGGGCTTGATGAACGACCGGCCGGCACGAAGCGTCGTTTCTTGTTGCTCGAGTTTCCCCCCCCCCCCCCCCCCCTTGGCATATTCCCGTTGAGAGAACTTTGCGCCGCCGTCTTCCCCCTTTTTTGCGCCACCTCCATCAACCGCAGTTTGGTGAGCACGAACTCACACATCTTCGCCGAGGAACTCTGTTGGGTTGACTCCGTCCCCGCCTCCAGCTCCCAACATTTCATCTGCGCCGTCGTCCTTTGGCAGAACAGAGACTTCGATGAGGTCGACATCCCGGCCGAAGGAACGTTTCCAAATCAAGGCGGATAATTGGGATGATGGCTTGGTGCCACAACGTATTGGATAGAAGATAATAGGCTTATGCCGCTTGTATCGAGAGACAAGCAGATACTCAGTTGAGAACAACACTCCGCAGGTCCATCTGGGACGCATTATCGGAAGTTCCCGCAGGCCTTCGCCACATCGTATGTCGAAATCACTCCGGAGATCATGGACAGAACCCGATTCCGGAACCGGTTGCTCCCAGCTGGTGGATGGTGGTCGGTCCAAGATCCGTGAGGCTTCTCGGAAGACTCGCAGAGTACATTTACCCCATTTCAATCCTATGACCATGATTACGACGGTCACCTCGCCCATTTATGTCCTCTTCACACACCACATAACGTGTCTCCCTTTTAAGAATGACCTCCCTCCTGTCCTGTAACGTTGGGCCAACCCGGAAGACGTGGCGCGACGACCTTCCCGCCAACTCGAAATGGCCGGCCTCCACAGCGACGACGATCGACCTCTACCGATACTACAATGATTCAAGAAGAGCTGAGCTTTGCTACAATGACGTGGAGTTATCAGAGGAAGAGAAGAAGGAACGAGACAACGGTGTGCGCGCGAGGGACATGGAACAAGCGCAGACAGGATCAATGGTAACCAGCCATCGGCCATGCTGAACAGAACACAACGTACAAGGTCTGAAGGACTTGATTCTCTTGCCACAATAGAATTAAAACGCCACGGTTGAATGTGCGTGTGTACATGTCTCGTGCGTGATGCGTGATGAATGCAGAAGGTGGTTGAATACCTCAATGCGTTGAATGACCTCAGTGCGGAAGGGTTCAGCCTTGCAGCCTTGTGCGTCTTGACCAATCACGTCTCGCCAAGCTTTCTCCCTCTTCGAAATCGAGTTCTTTCTGATACGACACGAAACACCGATACACTCCTGCAGCGAGGTTAGCTGGGCGGTCTATCTGCTGGTCTATGCTCAATAGAATTGATGTAGTATTCCACATCTTTCCTTGATGTGTAGATCTAGAAGTGCAAGAATTGCCAATCTAGTTGGTTCACTGGGTGTTTGGCAGCCTTGTATCTGCATACCTGCTCCCTCTCCCTTCCTCCCTCCCTCTCCTTAAGACAGCTATCTCCATGCTTTCTAAAGTCGCAGTGACTATTACAACTTCTTCGCCCACTCCACCGAACCGACCACCTCGGCCTGCTTCGCAATGACCTTCAACGCCGCATCGTGTATCTCCGCGTCCATATCGAGGCAGAGATCCCCAAGCACGACGAGTTTGTAGTCCATGTCCGCGCCCTGACGCACCGTCGACATGACCACACCGCTCGTGCTGATGCCGGCGATCACCAGCGTCCCGATATCCATGCTGCGGAGGATGATGTCTAGATCGGTACCATACAGAGCCGACACGCGCCGCTTGGTGACGACGATGTCACCCCCTCCCTCGCGCGGCGCGACCGCGGCGTGGATCTGCGTCGACGGGTCACTCTCGCCGAATCCGCCGCCTCCTGCGCCGCCGTGTGCTTGGGCCAGGGCCTGAGCGTGGGCTTTGACCCGTGCAAACGACGTGTTGCGCGGTGATATCTCTGGCAACCCGGCCCGGAACGCCACCCGCACGTAGATGATGGTCACTCCGGCCTTGCGTGCCGCGGCGATCGTGTCGGCGAGGCGCTGCAGGAACGGGCCCCGGGCCTCGAGGGGGATGCGCTCGACGATGCCGTTTTGCACGTCGCACACCAAGAGGGCCGTGGGGGTCGTCATTCTTGTGGCAGAGGAGGGTCAGGCACTTGTGCTGGGGTCTTGTGTCGCGTCTGGGTCTTTGCTTGGGTCTTGACGTTTACGGCGGGTGTCTGAGATCTGTTCTGGTTTCGACGCTGGATTCTCGGTCTGGGTCCTTCTTCCTCTGTCTTTCGGTGGCCCGGTCCAGGTGCAGGAAGGATTCAACAGCCTTGGGCCCTTGCCGTGCTGGGCTCTTAGTCCAAGAGTCAAGACAAGAAGGAGATGCGGCAAAGATTCAAACAAGACGCTACGTGCAAGCTGTGTGATGGTTTGATATATGATCTCTTGAATATCTGCAGTACACAGGCAAAAGATAGACAAGCAAACACCCAGAAAAGCGAAGCAAGCAAAGAATCCAAAAGTCCCCCGAATAAAAGCGGTGTGTAATACATATACCTACATGAAAGGGAGCCAACCAGGTGAGAAGTAAAGCGACTCATCCGGCCCGGGATGGTCCTGGTCCTCCTGTTGCCATTGGCTGTAAGAGGCCGGTTCCGGGATGAATGATGCAACTGCAACGCCGGATTAGCCGCATAATCCAGAATCAAATCACGTTACTTCACCCCCCCCCCCCCCCGAAAGATTCTGGTGGGACTGGTAAAGGCATCGTGGCAGTTTGAATCTCTAGAGACGAGACCTTTGCGGACGGAAATCCTCGGCATTAATTATTGGGCAGAGCGGACATCTCCAGCGCTGCGGAAGTCACCGTCCATCATGTTCTCAATCATTGGCACGCCCTGGCACATGGCACCTGGGTACATCTCGAGAAATTCTATAATTTTTGTACAATACCTTCCCATCTCCAGCCAGTATCTCGTCCGTGTGGCTCAAACTGACGCCCTGACTACCTGACGACATCCAACTGACCGACGGAATAAGAGACTGGGAAGAATTGGTCAAAAATGGCAGAAAAGGCAGAAAAAGCCCGCGTCCTCCTCGTGGGCAGCGGCGGTATAGGCACCATGACGGCTGTGAACCTGGAAAAGGGCGGGTTGGCCACGGTGGCGGCGGTGCTGCGGTCGAACTACACGGTGGTCAACGATGCGGGATTCACCATCGACTCGTGCGATCACGGCAAGTTCAGTGGGTGGAAGCCCTCGGAGATCCTGTCCCAGGTGCCCGACGTGACAGCGCCATCATCACCGACCAAACCTTTCGACTATGTCATTGTCACTACAAAGAATATCCCTGATGTCCCGCCGACCGTGGCCGATTTGATCCGCCCGGCAGTGACGCCGGGCCATACGGTCATTGTGCTCATCCAGAATGGACTGAATATTGAGAAGCCATTGCTGGAGGCGTTCCCGACCAACGTTTGTCTGTCGGGGGTGTCGTTGATGGGTGCCGACGAGCTGAGTCCAGGCCACATCCTCCAAAACGACGTCGACAGGCTGTTCATTGGTCCATTCCTGTCGGGTAACATAGATGAGCAGACGCAGGTTGCTGCCGCACGGGAATTTGTACGCATTTACTCCGCCTCAGGCAAGGTCGAGTGCTCGTATCAGCCGGACGTGCTGTTTGTGCGTTGGAGGAAGCTCATGTACAATGCCGTGTGGAATCCCATCTGTGCCCTGACGGGACTGGACACCACGCGCTATCGACTCGCTTCCGACGCACAGGACCCCGCCAACCCCCTCGACTTGCTGGTGAGGCCAGCCATGAATGAGATCCGTGCGGCGGCCAAAGCTGCGGCCAATGTCGACCTGCCCGAATCACTGGTGGAGGCCATGGTGGAGTGTGACCCCATGGAGATATTCTGTGCTCCGAGCATGTTGCAGGATCGGCGGAAGGGCCGCTTTATCGAGTACGAGAACATATTGGGCGAGGCACTGAGAGAGGGCGAGAAGGCAGGGGTTGCGATGCCAACGATCAAGTGCCTGTACGGTCTGTGCAAGGCAGTTCAGTGGCGGACCAAGGAGCTGAACGGCTTGGTTGATGCCCAGAAGTTGCTTGAGGCCAGAACAGCAGCCACCTAGGGGATCTAGAGGGCTGAGAAGTGCCCTTTGGAGTCTTTGAGACGCCGACAGCCCTAGCTAGCCTGGACGAAGGTGTCTGGGTGCCCAATCAGAACCACTGCCGGTGGAGTGCGGCGGTAAAATGCTTTGTTCGAAAGGCGGGCCTGGGCCGATCAATACCGAGTCTGGTCAAGGGCAGGTGATTGGGGGGTCATGATGCGAGTCTGTGAGCCTATGGGCCTGCATTAGCGACGTAGCAATCGTGGAGAGAAGACTCTGTGAGCAAACTCAATCGAACAGACATAGTGCGGCAGAACACCACCACCCCCGGATTCCTGTTTCTTGCTTTTTGGTGATTTGCAACCTTGAGCTTCTTGGACTCTTGGGTCTTTGGACCTTTTTCTCATCCCTTGCGTTTATTGTCCAGATGCCACGGAAAGGGTTTTAGATTGGTGCCGCATCAGCTCAGCCGCTCTTGTGCAGGAAGAGACAGCATGCAAGGGATACCTGACGTCCTCTCTGGTTGGTTCCTCGTAAGTCTCTCGAATGCACATGCTCCGACAGTCATGTACCTGTTCCTAGCCTGCAGCCAGGGCTCATCCAATACGATCAATGGCCAACTCGGCTCCTCCACCTTCCGGACAGCCCTCTGCCAGAATGTTCGAATCTTGATTTAGCTGACTTGAGCTGTCACTTGGAGGTTGGCCAGGCCAGACACTGACACATCCAGTCAAGTGAACTAGTGGCCGCCACCCTGATCTCATGCTTTGCTGGAAGAAAGGATAAGCGAGCCCCGATCGTGGTTTTACGGTGGTGATAGATGATGGTCGATTCACCTTGCGGAGAGTCTTGCCGTGAACATCCACTGGAGCGCGCAGTCATGCGTCCACCCCTTGCTTGGAGAGGGGGAAAAGGGACAGAATATAGATCGAGGATGGTCAATGCCCGGTGGCAGAGTGGTATCCCATCTTCCATCCATTCCTTTTGTCCTCAGCCCAGCCTGACTGACATTCTTGCTTCCAGCTTGGAACATCCTGTCTCTGAACCCGGATCAGCCAACCTCGTCGATCAAACATGGGTGACAATCCAAAACGAATCTCCTTCATCAATACTCCCGAGAATATCGGACCGGCAATCATCTTCGAGAACTTCCTCGCACAGGAAGTGCACATCACCGTGGAGCCAGATGTCAATGAGCCGGGCAAGGACTGCTGGCATCAGCCAGCGTACCCGCTAGATCTCACACCCCTTGATCCTCCACTGGGCAAGCCTTATCCCGGGAGCATCAAGACCATGATCTGCAAAGACGGGGCTCGCCCAAAGCACATCGGTATCCCCGGAGTCGTCGAAAAGAGAATCCAAACAATCATCTTGCACAACGAGCACCGCCGGTACCTTGACACGGCGGCATTTCCCAACCTGCGAGCGATCGTGTGCAGGGAGGACGACGACATCTACGCGGCCACCCACCTGGACCGCGCGGGATGCGATCTCTCTGACCGCTTCACGACCGAATGCGCCATCTACCGCCAACAAGCCGAGATCCACCGCCAGATCATGCCGCAGCTCCCCGGGTGGATGCAGGCCCTCGTCCTCGACCCAGCGAGCAAAGTCGAGCTCTCGATCCGCATCACGCTCGACTTCCGCTCCCCGGAGGAGGAGTCGCCCGCAAGCTTCTACTGGGACGGAGAGCAGATCAGGGAAGTCGAACAGCCTTCCTGGTTCGTGCCCCTGTGCATCCTGTATTCCTGGAGGGCGGGGCGGTCGTACTGGACCCTTCAACCGCCCAGGGACGTCGGCTTGGTGTTTCACGCAGCGAGCGGCGGCAAGGGCGATCAAGAGTGAGGACATCTTACATGTTCATGGAGACACCAGGTCTTCACGTGCAAGGACCAGCAGAGGACCGGCATTGGTGTATCTCAAAGAGGGGGAGGGACTGTTGTTCACGGTATAAAAATCCACATTATCGAACACGGGATGCAATACTTGGAAGAGGCGACGGACTGTGGGAGGCATATATTGCTGCTATGACTACGTTTCCTCTCGCTGCGACAAGGAATATGCGGGGGATTGGGTGGGTTAACGTACTTGATATGGCATCATGCGGAGATATTTTTATCGAGTTAAGACCTCAATTTTAACAATGTCGCTTACTTCTTTAGCGGAGAGACCAAGTAATTAGTCTCAACGTGGCCTTGAGTGAAAATAGCTTGATCGCGATCGCGTCGCGGGCGGCGGCGGCGATGAAGGGCGGGAGTGAGCATCAGCGGAATAGACGTGTCGGATTGGCGTCGCATGGGGCTCGGATCGATTTGAAACACGCCTAATGAGGTTAAGCACAGAAGGATGGTGGGATGATGGGCATCAGCATATCCCCTAGGAACACATCCGAAGGGGGGTTTTTGAAGGGATCCTGGTGGATGCCTATGGGTGCCTGTAGGTGCGTACAAGGGAGCCCTTATAGGCACCTCGGCGGTAGATTAGATAGCTAAGACAGCCACTAGAGGGGAGTGAGGGGGACCATTTGGGGGGGAAGTTTCAGGTCTCAGGCGCGCCTATAAATGGGATGAGCCGTGATAAGCATCGGATGATCAAACCACCGACCGCCCCACCCATGCAACCCAAGCCAATTAATTTCAGGACAATGCGCCTATCAATCACGAATCCCCTGAAAAGGGATGGATGCACCGTGTACCTCTACATACAAACCTGCGGCAAAAATGGCCCTCCTTGCACGCTCCCTTTCGTAATTCTTCAATGTCTTCTTCACCTTCGACCTCGACCTCGACCTCTTTGCTAAGAGGCTAAAGTGTGTCTTTCTCTATTCCTGAAATCAGACAACAGAAGCCATGTCCGTGTCCCTCCCTCGAGCGTTGGGCCCTGTGCGGCTTCTCCTCGTTTTCGTCGTCCTCGTCTCCCTGTTCCTCTTCCGATCCTACTACCTCCCCGATCCTGACTCGAGCGCCGTGTACGGCTTGAGTTCTCCCGCGTCATTCCGAGAGAGCTCAGGCTCTGCCTCCTCCGCAGTTGTCGACGATGTCGCCGATGTCGAGATCGAAGACGGGTACTTTGAGATCGAGGAAGACCTCGACCTGGTCAAACAACCTGAAGAGCATGCGCCGACGAGCACCGAACACCCCTCGACCTCTGAACCTGAGCCGAGCCCTGACATCGATTCTGAGCCTGAACCCGCGTCCCATCGCGAATCCAAGTCCGCATCCAAGTCGGACTCCGAACCAACTACCTCCCCTGAACATACCCCCGCGTCAACCCCCTCCTACAGCTTCGACAGTCACATCCCGCCCTGCCGCCAGTTACCGGGCGCGGACAAGGTCGTGGTCATGGTCAAGACTGGGGCTACCGAAGTCTTTGCGCGTGTCCCTGAACAACTCGTCACTCTGGCTCAATGCGTGCCCAATTTCATGATCTTCTCAGACATGGAGCAACAGGTGGGCGAGTTCCGCATTCAAGACGCCTTGGACGAGATTGGAGAAGAGTACAGAGAAAACCACGACGACTTCCACTTCTACAACGAGGTCCACGCGGCCCATGTTGCGCACGGCGACGTGAGCGTGCTGGGATCCGACAAGGCCTGGGCGCTGGATAAATGGAAAAACATCCCCATGCTGCACAAAGCCTACCTGAAATACCCTGATGCGGAGTGGTTTGTCACGATCGATGCCGACACATATCTCAGCTGGGCCAATCTCCTGCTTCTCCTCGACCGCATGGATCCAGACGAACCGCTCTACACAGGCTGCGTCTATTGGCATGGCCCTACGGCGTTTGCACAAGGTGGCACAGGCTATCTGTTATCCCGCAATGCGGTCAAGAAATTCGAAGACATTCGCACACCTGAAAAGATTGCTGATTGGGAAAAGGAGACTTCTACAATCTGCTGCGGTGATGTGATGCTGGGGGTGGCCATGGACCAAGCCGGAGTCAGCGTCAGCGGTGCCTGGCCCATGTTCCAAGTCGACCCTCCCTCCGGCTTCATCTGGTCCGATGGTGTGTGGTGCACTCCGGCAATCACCTGGCACCATGTGCATTCGTACGAGGTGGAAGCGCTCTGGCAGTTTGAAAAGGAGTGGCTCAACAAGACATGGGACGACGAAGACCCCGGCGCCGTTCCCTACCTCTACAAAGATGTCTTTGAAGACTTTGTCCGCCCCCACATCAGCAAAGAGAAGAAGGACTGGAACAACCTGGCTGCGGACAAGACATTTACGGAGCCCAAGGAGGACCATGTCAAAGAAGACAACGACTGGGATTGGAAGAACGATGAAGAGAAGCAAAAGATGTGGGATGATCTTTCGGAGGCCGAGAAGAAGTCCGTCGAGTCCTTTGAAGACTGCCGCGAGGTCTGCGACAAGGATGTGCAGTGCATGCAGTTTGCCTGGCACCCCGGAACCTGCAAACTGAGCCACTCTATCAGGATGGGTCGGCCGGTCGACCCCAAAGAGGAGTACATGTCGGGTTGGATGACTGACCGGGTCGAGAAATTCAGCGCGACTCGATCAGAGTGCGGTGAGATTTCCTGGAAGGTCGGCTAAAGGCGCAGTCCTGAATCTTCTCGCTACGATGTCCACGATGCGACGACACTCTTTGCCCCCCCCCCCCCACTGCCGAATTCGCAAGGCCACAAAGACTGGTCGTCGATGCTCGCAAACTTTCGAGAGTCCTTGTCCCTTTTCTGTTGCGGAAGCCTCGTCATGTTGTCGCAGGCGTTTTGATATACACACGATGGTTGCAATGTTTCATGAGCCGGGTGTTTCTGCTTCTTCACTTCAATACCCCTTTACGGTCGATCGGTCCCGGATGTCGGATGCCTTTTGTCGTTTTCCAACCACGATTCTCCTGTACATATATTTATATCTGTGTGTGTTATCGACTCGAGGATACGAGTGACACTGCATTGGGTGGGATCTGCCAACTTGTTCTATTTATTTGAGTGGGTATTGCATGCATGGCCATAGAGCATCATAGAGCACTTGTGCCATTTGGACTCGTCCCTGGGACCTGGAAGGCGTTTCATCAATCTCGTCGAGATATATCTGGGATACATTTAGCCTTGCTTGCGGGTATGCATGGGGTGGGATGGCATGGGAATTGAATTGAATGTATGTGCGTACATCATACACCGCTGTATCGCAGATCCAAGTTAGATTCTATCCCCCGGAGATATTTTCCCAGGCCTGTCCCCCAGTTCCCCAGCTCGGCCCAGTAGCAAAAAAACTTATCACAGAACAGCTCAACCTACTGGGGCTGTGACAAGGAAAACTCGCCCTGTTTTGGCAGGGTTGGTTTTTCTCCGACCGACCGGTTTTACTACGGAGTTTATACTACAGTGTGGTTGATGTCGACTTTTTAATCGATTTCGGGATTCGAACTCGGTATTTTTGATTCGGTCTCGTGAATTTTCGCCCTTGTTGTGTGTGTAAAGGGGGTCTTTGCGTGGTGGAATTTGGAGAGAGAAAACTGATATACTTGTGATTTTTCGGTGCTGGGACTGGTACCGGTACTATCGCAGATGTGAAGGTGTGAAGGTGTGAAGTCCTCCAGTGGGTGGGGGAGGGGGTGCAGGATTACACAGGTCTGGGTCTACCTACGTGTATGTGTACGCCATGCCTCGGTACGGAGTATCGTGGTATCGAGGTCTCGATCCAAGCAAGATATGGTATTCAAGAAGTGGCCATTATGGATTGATATGATGGACATGGCATCAGAGATATAGATGTGCTTTTCTTGTATACTCATTCCGCTTCAATCTATCTATCTCCCTGTCTCCCTGTTCTGGAACGCTGGAATGTGTATGTGTACTTGCTCTTGTATGATGTTCTGCTTCATGACTCGGATCTTTGTCAAGTGTGGCCAATTGCACCCCAATGCACCAGCCTTGACCTTGAGCACTTGGTCTCTCTCCGCAAGAAATCAGACGCAGTGTGTAATTGTCCGACAGCCTGTATTTTATCTCGACAGAGGGCCTCACGATCTCACGGCGACACGGCAGCCTGCGATCACATCGAAGTGGCTCTCAACTCCAGCCAACCACCCGCGGCGAAGAAGGACGTAGCAATCGGAGGGCGTTTGTTAGACGCCTCGCTCTATATACTCTACTGATCACTAAATCCCTCCCTCGACAATCACAACCCTGCGGTGTAGTGCATAATGTGTCTACCGTATCTTCCGCATTCTCCGCGTCCGCAGCATCCTCGGGCTTGCTTGTTTTGTGTTGCGTTGTGGACTCACTCGGTAGGTATTCTTCGGTGTATGTTCTCCCGTTCTTCGAGTCTCGTCTTCCTTTCGATCAGGAGGGAGTGGAAGCGGGAGTGGGAGTGCGGAGTTTGACATGATGAGCACCAGTCGCAGCACCAGGACCAAAACCAGCCTCTATTTTGTGAGGTCCTCGCGGAGAGGAGGGGTTTCATTCGACTTCGTGTAATGGAACGTGGGATGGGTAGGGAGGTAGGGAGACGTGGTGCATCGAGGATGCGGTGCGATGCGGTCACCGGCGCTCGGGACCCCGGGGAGGGTATTGCCGCCGGCGTGTGAGGACTTGGAGGATGCGATCCGATGCAGTCACCGGCCGCTAAAAGGCACCTACCTGACAACCTGTAGGGAGGGCATTGCTGCGGGTGTGGGAGGATTTGGGAGTCGTCGTTGTCGCTCACGATTGGCGCTTGAGGCCATTCCTGAGGGGAGCTTCAGGTGAAAGTCACGTGGTCACGTGCCGAGGCTGTGCCTGTTGAGGCTTAGCGCCACAGCGCGACGCGACAAGCTGACCAACCTGCAGCCTCGCCATGAAATTCAGAATGACCTCATGATTGACAACACCCTCTCCGAAGTTCCTGGCCGCGCAGCGCATGTTCAATCAATCAAGCAGGCAAGCAAGCAAACGTGTGACATGTGCTTGGTCCATGACCTGACCCATCCTGTACGGCAATCGAGACACCATGTCGAACAGTCAAAGGTCAATCCCTGCTGTGACCGCAGACGTTGCTGGCGTCTAAGCTCCCCGCTGCGCCGCACCCTGACTTACGGCGCTGTCGCTCGTGTGGTGAAGACGTCGGTTGCGCCATCGAATCGAATCAATCGATCTATCACGCTTTACACCCTGCGCCCTCCTCAGTGACCTACCCACCGGCCGAGCCTGCTACGAGGCATCCGATCTTCCTTGCCCCCTCTCCCCGCACCCTCTTTATCGCGCAGCAACCCCGAGAGCGGATTTGAAAAGAGACGTTTGAGTGCATAAAAAGGGATTGTATATATTGGGTAATGCCTCCTGGGAACTTGGACGGCCGACTAGCCCGCCGATAAGGCCTCCGATGAATTACTTGCGGTGCCTACCTCGCACTTTGAATGCCTCGAGACGGCTCCTGATCGCAACGCGGAACAAGGACATGGCGAATAGCCTCGTGCAAGGCGACTCACCGATCTCCGGGGACTTTTCTCGTTGCTCGAGGCGAGGTTGCTGTGCAGTAGGAGGTGACGCCGGAGACGGTCTGGCCTTTCGACGAGACCGGAGCTGGCATGGCTCGCGTGTATACTGCTGGCAACCATCCAAGCGGCGGCATTGATCATTCGGAACGTGGTGTCGATTGCGGACTATCTGAATATCTGGTGAGGGAAATATGAACAAGAGAATCCGTGCGTTTGAGCTGGCGAATACAGGCAGGGCTTCACAAGACCATAATTCACTCCATATCTTGACAAAACAGCCCAAGTTGCCCAAGCTTCCTCAGTTCGGGATATGGTAAGGTTACTTGCTTTTTTCTTGACAATGATCACAGCCCAAAGACGAGCATTGTGGTCGCAGATGTGGACTGGCGTAATAAGGATTTTTGGACCTAGCTAGCATATACAGTACATGCGTTCATCTATCCCATCAGATTATGGCTCGGTGTCTCGAGGACTCTGCGGCGCGCCAAATCAAACCGCCCAAAATCCTGACACTGTATCGTCTGCGTGCATTTTTCAAGCTTTTCCTGGTAACAGACTCGCATACTATTCATTTTGAGAGAGGCCAGAGCGAGACAGGCTCTGAGCTACTTCACTTCGCCATCAAGGTCGATCCACGTGGTCGGAACCCCTTCCCCTCCAAGGCTCCGCGCCACCTTCACTGTTTCGCAACCCACCAAGGGTTCAACATCGTGTCCTGGACCTTTGACTCCCTCTTTCGCTTAGCGCCTGAGGTTCTCCTCGACTCAACCGTCTTCGCGAGGCTGTTCTATCGATGACGGGATCCTCGAGCTGTGACCGAGTGTGCTGTCGTGCATAGTCTACTATTCCTACTACGGATAGATCTCTGATGGCCACTCCGACCAACGACGGCGGGCTTCTTGCGGCTGCACTTGCGATCGAGGTCCAACGAGCCGTAATCTGAAGCTTTGAGTGATGCTCTTCAGGAACAGGAGACAGATCCCAGCCCCTGATGTCCTCAAAATCCCCACCAGGTCTAATCAGATCTCTTTGTCAAGCCTCCTGAGGCTCAATGAATTCGGCTCCACGAACAATCCACTTCTACAGTCTGTTTCGCGTTCGCTCAAAAAAGGTTTCATAACAGAGAGCCGGCCAGTAGAGACGAGGATACGGCATGACTTTTGCGACCCCAAGATCCGAGAATTTCCCACCCCCATAGTTGCCAGGGTGGACATCTGGGGCATATAGTTCACACCGTTCTGCAATGTCGACATTCTTGACCATGAGTGGGAGCTGATCTGCAGAAGCAGTGGTGTCGACCAGTTCTTTGACCAGTGCCCAGGGAGTGAGATTTTCCCAGATTCTGAAACGGGTGCGGAGGGCGTCGAGCTGGGGCCCGTCAACTTTATCCATCCATAGCACTTGACCGCAAATCGTCGTCTTCGCCCATATCTTGTAACCGGGCAAATTCTCGGCTTTCGCCGCCGAACGGGTCGAGAAAAACATGCTCGTATTTGGGTTTCAGCCTCGACCAAGGATTGCGAGTATAGGGGAAGTACCAGGGTCATGTCAGAGATATTCCTTATCCTCAAGGAGCAGCGTAGTCTCTACAAATTTGACGGCGTATCGGACGCCATTGATCGAGGCAGATACGACAATACCCTGTTCGCCCTTGCCCAGAAACTCGAGGTATTCGAACTCCTCGTCAGAGTCCTTGAAACGCCTCAGCATTGGATCTTCAGACGGGTTTCTGAACGGCTTCTCCGTCATGGGCTCCTCCGAAAGGCATTTTCCCATCCAGAACCTATCGTTCGACTCTGGCAGGTCCATGTAGAGATCAATCTGGCTGGCCGGCAACGAGTCCGGTGTCCAGTCTGGGCGCTTGACGGTCGACGGGATTTCATGAACAAGATCGGGTGTAATGAAGGCTTGGGAGGAGACGAGTGACGCGGGGACATCATGATCGAGACTCCAGGTCGCCTTCATTGCACACAATTACGCGGAGTAAAGAGGTGGGCCTTATGATTCCAACATTGATAATGCTACTAAGGCTTACCGCCAGGCGCCAGTGGCGGCCTGTCGGACATACCAAAGGGGCTTGACTATACCCCACTGGTGAACCTCACCACGCGTACTTGGCCTGTGCAGCGCCATAACGTCATTCCGAGACAGACAGGAACTCTCTCATTCTGACAGGATGTAAAATGGCAAAAAACTTATCACAGAACAGCTCAACCTACTGGTCTGTGACAAGGAAAACTCGCCCTTTACAGGGTTGGTTTTTCTCGACCGGTTTTACTACGGATTTTATACTACAGTGGTTGATGTCGTCGATGTTGTCGGAGGGAGGGAGGGAGGGAGGACCGGGGGAAGGAATCGAGGTCCTGATGCCCACTAACCCGGAGTTAGTTTTGACCTGACAGGACCTAGATTACATATGCCGTGATCGGGACTCGAACTCGTGGTAACTTCGGTTTTCGCCCTTGCTGTGGAGAAGGGGGTCTTTGCGTGACAGAATTTAGAGAGAGAAAACATATATACAAGTGATTTCTGGTGGCTGTTGTACCGGTACCCATGTGCCTCTGTGATCCATTGACCTGAAGTCCTACTTTGGTGCTTGGCAATAGGCAGATTAACCGCTGATTGGACCAAGAGTGCCAAGGCGCTAGTGTAGACACTTCCTATAGGGTCACGGAAAGCGAAGTATGCAGTTCGGAAACGAGGTCATGGATCACTATGATCCAGGCCCAACATGGGCAGAAGCCAGGGTAGAGAAGCCCGCGTGGAGACAGACTTTGAAATTGAGAGTATGCTTCATTCCATGTGGATGACAAGCCCTCGAATCATGACTAGAACAGAAGGCTCGTTACATCGTTACATTGTCATCACCAGATTACACCCTTACAATACATATGGGTCGTTGCGTCGTGATCAGAACAAATCAACAGCACGAATCTCCCCATTCCACCAGCCAGGAAGTCTCAAATGAGTGAGATATCACAACTCATTAGATCCATCTGCCTTGATGTCCGTTCCGTCAAAGTCCCCGAGGATCCTATCGATGTGGCGGCCGGCGGCGCTAACATGAAGGATATGCGTAATTGCGCTTTCAAGTGCAAGCAATCACAGATTGGGAGGATCGATCGTGTATGTCTCGATCAAGAAAAGAGTGCGATCGACTGGAAAGATTGGATGTCGGAAAAAGTCCTCTCGAGTTGAGTCAAAGCGGTACGAATGTAGCCCATCTTCTCTGGGCTCAAAGAAGACTTGAAAATCACCGAAAAGTGGATGTGAATCGTGGGTCAAAGTGATGGCGTTGCCTGGACTGTCGATATTTGTGCCGTCAACAGCTGGTCGGTACCATCTTCGAACATGCTTGAGGTCGCGAGGGCTATTCTCTTCGATTCAGTTGAACCAGCCGGGAATCGCGTCAAGAGGTTGGCTAACTTATTAGCTCTGGCATTTTGCTCTCGACAGCCATCAATGGACGAGGGATGATATGCGCGACCCCTAGGTAAGCGAAGATTCCACGTTCGTCTTTCAAGGATTTCCCGTCATTGTCTTGTGCCCTCTCCTGTCCATCACGGCTAATGCGCTTCACTGCTTCCTCGTCACCAAACGTACGTGATATCACACAGTGGTAGCGATCACGGGTCAGACATGCTCCTCGCAATGTTGCTACTCATTGGGGAGTGTCCGCAGGCGACTGTGTACGTTGGAGATCGGACAGGTTCGTAGGCAAAGGTTGTGGAGTGTGCCTTCTTGAAGCTTTCACTGAATGATGCCGATGTCAGTATATGTACAACGCGTTATACGGTCAATAACCTATAGGGCAGAAAGAAGTTCTTGACGAGGGTGCCTGCAAACGCAGCTAACTGAGGACCATGGTCACCGCCGCGGACCAGTTCCCATTCGGAAACCTCGGTTGGAATTTGTGTATGCTGGAAGAAAAATGCGAGGAATTTATCTCTCGATGTTCCGGAACGACTGTATTTGTAGGTAAGGCGAACGAGAGTGACTTGTTTATAAGGCACGCTGTTCAATTGGAATGGCTAGTGGGCTTCGATGAGAGTATTGGAAATGTGCGTGGCCTGGTCTCTCTGTTCGGGGCCCGACTGCAAGCTTGGTTCCGACACACATCTACCCCTGTCCCGAGAGATGTTTGCTGGCAGTGATGGGGCAAAGGTATTGCTAGTTTCTTTCAACAACCTCTCGTTACTGTCGCTCCGCAGGGACGCGGCAGCACGCACAGCGAGCGTGGCGGATTTGGAGAAACACCGAACACAAGGAAGGTTGGCCGAACACACCCCTCACTTCCACAGGCTTTGTACCATTTTGGTTCTCTGCGGACAGTCCCTGTCGACAACAAGGTCAGGCCACAGTGTGATGGTGATCTAGACACCTGACAATGTTCCGGGCCATACGCTATGGCTTGGAGATGAGTTTCGACCGTGCTCTGAACTGTGAGATCTGTTGAATTGCCCTCTTGATGACGCGAACGTTCGTTTTGTACCTGTTCAAGATATTGATTCATCTGCTTGGTTCAACGGCCTCGAGCTTGCGCCAACGATCGTCCATCCTCCGTTTTGAACCCCTTCTTCGTGCTCAAGCCAATCACCTCGACGCTCTGGCCTCTCGCTCGCCCTCGAGTACGTCTCCGAGCCTGCGCTCAGAAGAGTCAAATTGTTGTTTGTGAAGAGAAAGGAGTACACTGTATAAATGTGGTAACCTCGAAGCGCAAGGTGCCGGGCAGGGCAATTTCTTCGTGCAAGAGCTAGGTTGTGCTGAGGGGATTTGGCTGGCATTGGACATTATTCTCACTGGGCACGGATACGGACAGGAGTTGCGACACCAAGTGCTGCATGGACGGTCATCTGTCAATCGGATGCCATTATATCCTGGTCTTTCATTGTCCTTGGCCGGCAGTTGTCGCAGTAAACCCCTGCGACCAGATCTAGCTGGGTCGACGAGGGAGATTGCCACCCTTGGTTTCAGGGCGTGGTGGTTAGCCTATACAGTTCCCAGCAAAAGAATGAAAGCAATACGGTTCGGTCAGTGACCAAAACTCGAGCTTCATATCTCTCTTCACTTCATCAGCATACATGCTGTTTGTTGACTACATTCTCATGCATCTGCAGTCTCTTCTGCCGTTATACATAGTTCCGCCCGCATCCACGGAGAGTCTCGCCAGCTTCTTCCCGCGTCAACACATCCACGTTGAGGCGGGGCTTAATGCGGATAACGAGGACGTGACAGCATTGACAGCAGAGCCCTCTCCAAGTCTGTAGTGATTGCACCTCCTCTCTCCTTGACTACGTGCACTGCGCAGTCGTTGAGCCGAGTACGTAGCTCCGGATCAGAGATAATCCTCATTCCGAAGTCACGTGAATCACGTGAATAGGAATGGCCTTTGGTATACTCTGGCCTGCGCAGTTGGAGTAAGCAAGCAACAAGAGCCGCAAACCCCGCGTGATCTGAAATTCCACCCACGTCAGTTCCTTCCGTGCCAATTTGGTTCAATCTGATTGGGTTCGCGAAGCAAAGCATGGCCTTGCCGGTCGGATTTCAGAAGTCCCTTGTTGCTAACACGTTCGCAAACCAGGAACCAGGCATTCCATTCGTTCTCAGACACCAGCTCTGATCTCCTCTCAACTACTCTCACCTCTACATCTGTTCCTTGCTTCCCAGGGGAAGCCCTTCCCTCGAGTCCAAGGGTGCATCTTGGAGCCTTTCCTCCCCGAAATGACATGAAACTGGCGGAGTTTCTGACTACCCTTCTCCTCGTTGATTGACCCCACGATGGCCGACCCAAAATCATCCTGCCTTCGGTCTTCTGACCCTTCGACTCCTCCCCGGCGGGTGTCTCAGCAGAGCGTCCGATTCACAGACACGGACCAATATGTCCCTCTGATCCCCAGCCGGCTGCGGGAGACCACGATTCTCTCACCAGAAGACAGAATGGCAAGATCCAGCTCAGAGGGAGATTCAAGTGATCACCGCGGCCCAGAACTCCCCCCTCCGACCTTGACGGTCGACGAAAACACGCCTCTTATCGCCGAACCAGAGCCCTTGATGGACGAAGAAGGGGAAGATGTACAAGGAGAACTCCTTGAACCTTCGTCGCAGTCGCTCTACGCTCGGAACAATATGCTAGGGGATTATCACCACAGCCGCATTTGTGGTTTGAAGAACTGCGATCATGGGACCTTTTCTCCCCGAGCCCCTTCGGTCGACGAAAGCGAGGGGAGCAACAGCATCTCCTTCGGTGGTCGATACGCCGATGATATCGGAGAGGACGGGAGTCCACGGGACCCGGTGCGAGGCATCCTGGGTGAGGCTGTCACCGACACGCTCACACCTGGTAAAAACAGCTTGGGCACAACCAGATGGCTGGCCGAAAGACACGGGATTAAGAGTCACCGGTTCATGTACTTCTCCTACTACTTCCCGTTCGTCAAGTGGGTCGGGCAGTATCGATGGAGCTGGTTACAGGGTGATCTGGTCGCTGCTCTCACGATGGCGTCCTTTTACATCCCGATGTCGCTGTCTTTCGCCGCAAACCTTGCACACGTTCCACCCATCAATGGACTTTATTCCTTTGTCTTTCAGCCATTGATCTACGCTTTCTTGGGCACTTGCCCCCAGATGGTCGTTGGACCTGAGGCAGCAGGGTCTTTGCTGCTTGGCCAGGTGGTCAAGACATGCATCGACAGTGGACAGTCCCACGATGATGATTCCGAGCTCAACGCTGAAATTGGCGGCCTGGTGACCGCAATAGCAGGATCCATCATCTTCGCCGCCGGTTTGGCTAGGCTTGGGTTCCTCGACAGCGTCCTCAGTCGACCCTTTCTTCGAGGTTTCATTAGCGCCATCGGATTCGTCATTCTTGTTGACCAGCTGATTCCCGAGTTGGGTCTCACCGACATTGCGAAACAAGCGGACGACGTGGCACATGGGAGCAGTGCTCAAAAGCTAGTATTCCTGGGTAGGAACATAGGGGATACTCACGCTTTGACGGCTGCGGTATCCTTCGGAGCCTTCGGTATCATCATGGTCTTTAGGTATGTTGTGGCCCGCTTCAGGAGCTTCATGGTCTAACATCACAGGTCTCTGAAAAAGAACATGCAGCCTCGATATCACTGGGTGGCATACTTTCCGGATCGGTTCATTGTGGTCGCCCTCTCGGCTGTTCTGACTTGGGCATATTCATGGGACAAGCAAGGCCTCGATATCCTCGGTGAAGTCAAATCTCCAAGCGGAACGTCCATCCAATTCCAGTGGCCCTTCCAGTTCCGACATATGAAACACATCGACACGGCATTGAGCACGTCCTTCTTGATTGCATTGCTGGGGTTCTTTGAATCTTCTGTCGCGGCAAAAAGCATCGGAGAAGGGGGCCAAGTTAAGCACATAACGCTCAGCGCGAATCGTGAAATGATTGCTCTGGGCACTGCGAACATTGTCGGGGGCTGCTTCATGGCCTTACCTGCATTCGGTGGTTATGGAAGGAGTAAAGTCAACGCTTCGACCGGAGGTACCACGCCAATGAGCAGCATTCTCCTCAGCCTCATCACCTTGATATCAGTACTGTTCGTCGTTCCCTATTTCTACTACCTCCCCAAGGGCGTTCTTTCTGCCATGGTTTCGGTCGTCGCATACTCTCTCATCGAAGAATGTCCTCATGACATCAAGTTTTTCCTCAGAATTAGAGGCTGGACGGAGCTGTCACTCATGACGATTATCTTTGTGGCGACGGTTTTCTATTCTTTGACCGTCGGAATGGCACTCGGCATCGGCTTGTCCTTACTGGCGTTGATCCGCCACGCAACGAAGCCCAGGATTCAAATTCTCGGAAAAGTGCCTGGGACGACAAACCAATTCGAAAATGCAGAACTTACACCCGAGAATATAGAATATATCGAAGGTTGTCTGATTGTCAAGATCCCCGAACCCCTCACCTTTGCGAACACCGGAGAATTGAAAAATCGACTCCGGCGGCTAGAGCAATACGGCACCAATGCTGCTCACCCTTCCCTGCCACGAGTGCGCCACGAGGATAACAACCGCAATGTTATATTTGATGTGCACGGCGTCACCACAATCGACGGCTCCGGAACCCAGGTCTTTACTGAAATCGTGGAGGATTATGTCAGGCGTGGCATTCGCGTCATTTTCTGCAGATTACCCCAGAGACGGAGTCAAGTCTACAAGCGGTTTGAAAAGAGCGGCATTGTCGACCTGGTGGGCGGCACAAGATACTTTGTGGGCAGTGTTGAGGAGGCACTGAGGCTGAGTGAAGCGGAAGACCTGGAAGAATATTTCGAAGAGAGACTGCACGGGCATCAGCATCATTAGAGTACGGCAATGGATCCCACGGGGGATTTTGACCCATGTCGAACAGGCATCACGAGCATCGACATCACCGGAGGAAGCACGCAAGGGGGAAAAAAGTTCGGGTTAAAGAGGTATCGTTATATTCCTAAAAGCATGGCGCGGTCTGGCATGGTCTGGCAGGGTGGGGGAGTGAAAAGCAAGCACGTCGTCATGGGGACTCTATCTGTTATTTTGTGCTGTAGACACCTTCTTTCGATCCTACACGCTCCTACATTCAGCGAGCACACTAGAAAATGGCATATCTCGACAGCTTCATTGTTTTCAACTTGACTTTGCTCTTCATTTGCCTTTTGCAACCCGTGGACTCCATCATTCACCTGCCACTGTACAGGAGGGGAGGTCGCTTCTCAAGCCACGAGTCCGCCAACCTCACGTATCTCTCTTCAATCCTCGAAGCTGCCGAAGCGAAGTACGGCCGCAGCTACCGGGCTATCGAAGGGAATCGGCTTGTGCGGAGATGGCACGCCAGCAGTTTCGAGGATGAAAATGATCCGGAGGTGGTTGATGTCGTCGGAGGGGTGAATCGATGGTAGGGCAGAGCGTCTTGGATTGCAGTCCTTGGGACTTTGAGAGGAGAATTGAGATCACTGACCTCACCTCAATGCCGGGGAGTACAGGTATACGACGGTCGAGGTGGGCGGGCCAAGGCAGAAATTGGAGGTCGACATTGACATGCTGAGGCCTGATTTCTACACCATCACGACGGCGAGCGACAGCGGTGTCAAGTACAACGCGTCTGCATCGCGAAGTCACGGTAGGTGAAGAAGCGGAGGTGAGGAAGAGAGAGAGACACGAGGAGATGGAATTGATTGTGTGGCCTGGCCAGGAATCCGCCACGGCAGAGCGCACCCAATCTGCGCCCGCGCCAGCGACGAATTTCATTTGTCCCCGAATCTGCCAGCGCTTCGACTCGAGTTCCCCGCATGCGCACCAGCAAAGGCATCACGACAGAGCCTCGCACACTCCGGCACGTTCCTCGGCCTCGCACCACACGTGGGATCTCTTGCACGATTGTCCTCTCCTCCGCTCCTGACGCAGCTCAGAGAGCAGGACGCCGTGCCGAACAAGGTCTGGTCGGTCACCTTGCTGGACACGGAGACCGGGATCCTTACCCTCGGCGGAACCATCGCGAAGGAGGTCGAGGAAGCGAAAATACGCGGAGATGTCGAGCTGAAGCACTTTGGCCAGGCCGGGATCACGTCGGAATGGGTCAGCGAGCAGGTCCAGGCGCAGTTGCAGGCGATGATGCCGACTGAGGTGCCGTGGGATCGACATTTCAAATGGACCGAAGTGCAAGGAGCAGCGGGCTGGTGGATGGCTTTGATGAGGGGTGTATGGATTCACGGAGCAAAGGTATGTATCATCAATATCCTACCGGCCGTGCGTGGGCCACTCTTTTAGCTCTCTGGTTTGATTTGTGCTGCGGAGGGATCACCGCTGCTTTTTGCTGACATGCCCTTGGCTTCACGCGCAACAGATCCTGAGAAACCAGCCCGTCATCTTGGACATCAACGTCCCCTTCATCTTGGCCCCTCCCATCGCCGCCCAACGCTTCTACGACTCGATCGGCGGCACGAAACGCCTCCCGGCTCCCTTCGACGTCTTCTTCGCCTTCCCCTGCTTCAACCAGGTCAACATCGCCCTTGAGATTGCCGGGATGAACATCCCCGCCATGCAGGGTCAAGGGACTTGGGAAGACGGGCTGCACGGTCCTACGGGCGGCAGATTCAGTCTGGGAAAATTACAAGATGGGTCGGGATACTGCGTGGGCAGCGTGGTGGAGACAAGGATGGGCCAGAGAAGAGATGGGTTCGAAAGCGGCATGAAAGACGTGTGGGTATTGGGCGAACCCTTCTTCCGCGGACTCGGGGTCACCTTCGACATGGACAAAGAGAGAGTAGGGGTTAGGGTCTATTGAGAAATGAAACACAAGGCGTGGTCAATGGCGGCATGGCCGGGGTCAACAAGAACCACATTCCCAGGCGTCAAAGTGTCTGCTCAAAATAACTTTTAGCAATTCAGTATCACGGCCGTTATTTCTCTCGTTTCGTTCATTCCCTCTTCTCCCCCAAACGTCCGAGAACCTACTTGCTCTCCTTGACAATCTGCTTCAAAGCCTTCTCGTATTCCTCGACCTCCTTCGCCCCTACGAGGGTGATATCCCTCCGTTTGCCCTCGATCATGATGGTCGGCACGGAATCAACCCCGTTGCCTGCCTGCTGACGAACCATGCTGGAACGCTTCATGTCAGCTCGGAGCGGGCCTTTGTGGGACGTCCACGGGCGACATTGTTGCCCGAGCATGGAAACACCTTCCCCCGGGCTGCGGAGAGAGACTCACTTCTTCACATCCATCATCCCGTCGTTCTTGTCTTGGATGAATGGAAGGGCTTCGGATTCAGGGATTCCGGCCTCTGCGGTGGCTTTGAGCAACGTCTCATCGGAAGAAGGATGCTTCTCGTTCTCGAAATACTGGGAATAGAGCGCTGTGATGTGCCAAGCAATGAATGTCAATGGGCGACACTAGAGCAGAACCCGGCGATACATTTTTCCGGAAGCCGCCCACGGGTACGGTATAGCGTGCCACTCACAATTGATGATCTTGTCGGCCGTTTCAGGGCCCTTTTCCTCTTGGAAGTGCTGGATCACGCGATGTGCGTCCATGGTGTTGGCGACCGTGCCGCCGAACTTGAAGTTGATACCAGCGGAGAGGCCATATGCCGTCATCAAGGCCATATACTGCCGAGACCCTATGGATGAGCAAACGGGGGAACTGCAGCCATCGAAAATTACCTTACCATCTTCATCTTCTCTTCCGAGTCGCCATAGCGGGATTTCTTGTACCAATCGTACTTGTTTTCACCCTCCTTGGTGGCATCGGGATGCAGCTGGTATGGGAAGTACTTGACCACGAAAGTCACGTCCTTTGCATCGTCACTTTGCCGGAATCGACGGAGGGCTGTCCACAGGTCAGACGGAATGGTCCGTTGTATCACAACGGACCAACCAGGGTCTGAATGAACAGGGCTCCAGGGAAGAACCGACCTTCGTCAAGCCTGCCACCTCACATATCACATACGCGAGTCAGTCAGCCCACCGGTCCCGCGGAAAGGACGTCATTCAGAACAAGACTGTACCGTCGTTTGGCCAGATATGTCCTGCGAGTATGAGACACATTAGCCCGGTTACCAACATAGACAACCCAATGAATACTTTGATGCGGCGGCATGATGACGGTCGACGGGATGACGGATGTCTCACCAAGGGCAAATGGTGTCCAAGGTAAAGGATATCTGTGCTTCGTACGTCATGTCGTTTGCAGGTCTCGGGGTGGCCTTTGCGTAACCACACTGGTCGAGGATGGAAGCAGGGGGGTGCACAGGTTTCAGCGCGTTACTACCTTTTGAGGTTGGAAATTGTCTATATCGCAACCCCGCTTACGGTTGCCGGGACATGATTCACGTGACACACCAGATGAGTTCACGGCCGCAAATGGAGCATATTGCGGGCATCATCGCTCGGTATCTATTGTAAAGGGCGTGCGCTTAGCTTTCCAACAAACTACGGCGAATCCTGTGGTGAGTATGGTGAGATTGGATTGGTGCCTTGGTGTAAACAACCAGCATAGCCAGGCATTTCATGGGACGGCTGAGGAACCTGCGAATCATTGAGTGAGGTGGCTCTGTGCCTCGTAGTCCGCAAGCGGAAGCCCGGAGAATCCCTTCTCACACAAAAAGGATAAAAAGAGTTACATGGCTATGAGACAAAACAAAATAAAAGACGACACCTGCAGGATTCGCAGCTGCGCTCCTGAAGGAAATGCCTCGACTGGTATAGCAGGGCATCTAATTCCCAGTCAGTCAAACTATTCACGTGATAGTATTTTCTTGGCACATAATTGTGCCAAGTCGGTAATCGGCGAAATATTTGTGCGGAGCGGAAAAACTCACGTGAAAACAACAAACCGGAAGGGGAAGAAAAGCCACAAAACAATCACTCACTCCTGCAATCAAATCCTTTCAACAATCAAAAATTCCTTCTATTGAACCAATTGTTGCATCTCCAGCCTGCCCGTGGACAATAATCCCGTGAATTAATCCCAAAGGAATAGGAGGGCTGGTGTTTGCTCCGGTCAGCCTCCTTGTTGGCCTGACACCGACTATCAAGCCACCCAGCCTCCCCTGGAATCCCTCACCGCCACCGCCAAGATGGTAGCGAACTCAGCGTCGACGCTATTGGCTCAACACTAAAATCTGAGACTCCGGGTTCGCTCGCTTCGCCCTTGCTCCTAGTCTAACCATGTCCAGCCTCCCCAAACATGACTGGACCCTAGTGTTGTTTCACCGTGAATCCAGCCTCTTCCTCCCTGGACCATGCATTGACGTCCCCAGCACAAACAATGCCTGTTCACCTGCCATATTCTTTGAGAAACCCCCTGAAACCGCATATACACTGTCCCAGTATACAAACGGCGGTGGGCCAATCCGCAAGGGGGAAGAGGCTGGCGGCACCCACACCTGAGCTCGCCTATTCAGTCCCAGCCCGGTTTGCTCTCCTTTTCTATACTCCACCTGACGTTATGCCTACCCAATTGAACTGGCAGTGATTGCCCATACGGACCACTATGGTCCCCTTTTTGACTCTTCCACCATCATGATCCTGCCTCCTGAACAGAGCCACTATCGGCGGCACACCGAGTAGGCTTTTCCCAGCAACAGTCGAATGAGGGTACACAGCTGGAACTGTCAACCTCTCCTGTCGTGTGCATGACGTTGCGCTCTCCCCTTTTACAAAGGTATTTGAATCCCTTCCAGGCCGTTGCATTGCGTTCCCTATTCTTCTATCTTGCAAATCATTACTCCCAAGACCAAAGTCCTTCGTTGAAACACGGTCAATCGTTCCCAGGCAAATCCTTACATAATCCCCTCCCCTCACCTCGTCAATTATTCCTAATACGTCATCTTCCCCTCACCATGAAGTCCGCGTTGGTCCTTGCTCTTGCTACACTTGCTGTCGCAGCACCTGGCGGCGGTCAAGGAGCCGGCTGGGGTCAGGGCGGCGGCGGTGGCGGCAGCGGCAGTGGTAACGGCAACGGAGGCCAATGGGGAGGTGAAGGCGGCGGCCCCGGTGGTCCGGGAGGCCCTGGTGGTCAGGGCGGCAAAGGCGGCGAGGGTGCTGGTGACAATAGCAACTGGGGAGAGTGGTCAAGTCAAGGCGGACACGGAGGTCAGTGCACTTGCTCTACTGTTTGTTCTACATGACGAATGCTAACTCTACTTCCAGCTCCAGCTCAAGAGAGCTCCCAATGGCAGGACTGGAGTACCTCGGCGGCCCCAGCCCCTGTGATCACGACAACTTCTCTTCCTCCGGTATTGACCACGTCTCATTGGCAAGATTGGACTACATCTGCACCCCCGGCTCCTGTTATTACGACAACCTCTGCACCTCCTGCACCGGTTATTACCACATCTCATTGGGAAGATTGGAGTTCTACATCCGCGGCCCCGGTCTCAACAACACCGTGGAGTGACTGGACTACACCTAGCTCTGTGGCGCCCGTCCCAGAGACGACCAGCTCGTGGGCCGACTGGTCCTCCAGCGTTCCTGTGGCTCCGGCTCCGGCTCCATCCAGCAGCGTGTGGAGTGACTGGTCTTCAGCACCCGTTGTCACTCCAACGCCGACCCCTGTTGCTCCCGAGACGACCCCAACTCCATGGTCGACCACGGTCGTTCCGTCATCAACAACGCCCGTGGCTCCTGTGGCGAGCACATTCCTTGGTGCGGCCGCCCCGGCTGCGACTGGTGGCATCAAGGTTGTCGGTGCAGCAGCCGCTCTGATGGTCGTCGCCTTGCTTTGAGAAGGTCAATGACCGTCGGGTACCACATTCCTTCACGGTACTCGATCACAATTCACCCCGTCCGATGCTTGTTCCCAACCAGCTTGAGGAAACATGGAGACATCGCGACATTCGGGTTTTCTTTTTCATTTCTTTGGACAGCAACACTGCTTGCTGCTAATGACGACCTTAATGAGGAAAAGGGAAACAACAAGACACCCTTTTCGATTACCACGAGACTCATGATCACTCCTTTACCATGAGGATCCCACTGGCTTGGAATCTGGATACTGGGAAAAGGGAAAACGACCCCCCCACGGAAAGAAACGGGGGCAGGCAAAAGAAAGTATATGGGGGGAGACCGGAGATATATAGCCCGCCTGTGGCTCACATCTATATCGCAAGACCCCAGACGTTTTTGAATGAAACGAAAACATCATGGCATTTGTTTTATCTTGTACGAGAATAGAGATTCATTTTGGAAAGTTCTTTCGTGTGTTGGACAACATGCTCCGCACACCGCACACACGGACATGGGTGCGCAGCTTGTATCAAGGCCGGACTTTATCTAGATCCATGGCGATAGACATATACAATGATGCAACACTACTTCCGTCTATCTCTGTTTCCATTTCCAAGCCTGAGGGTGTTGCTGCTTCTGCGTGGGCTGTTCAAAGCTGATGTGTCCACATTCATGCTCGGTCCTTGCATTCTGGCACCTGCGATGATGCTGCCAAGGCGCTGACAAAGCAAAGTCCGCCAATTAAATGCGGCCTTGGCATTTTGCCGCGATGCCGTCTCTCTCGCTGTGAAAGGTGAATGGGCGAAGATAGAGCATGGGTGAGCGACTCTATGCTCCTCTACTGCGCATCTACAATATTCTATGGAATGTGTCGGAGTTGTACCAAGGTAAGTGCAGATGTGGCGGCGCTGAATACCTTGCCATGGGCGGAATTCCTTGTTTGCTTGCGGAGACTGTTGATCAGCCTCGTCTCCAGAGTGCGTTTGTTGCCGCACCACAGCCTCTCGGCCTGATCAGCCAGCCTTCCAGCCTCATCCGCCCCAGAGATTGAGTGCTCAGAGTCCTCCTTCATGCTCTATGCCTGGAGAGAGCCAGAGAGCCAGAGAGACAGAGCGACAGCCCAATGGCTCTTGCACGTCGACCTCATCTGAACATCCAATCCCCGTCCCTCAACGTGACAACGACACGCCTCCAAACCCCTCTAGTCGACGCCACCTTGTGTAACACAAGTTGTCGGTCAATGGGTGGTGATCCGCGCCTCGCTGGGATTTGTCCAAAACCCTGGCCCGTCGCGGGCTGTGGTGTGTGTGATGGGTGATGAGGCAGTTTCTCCCGCATTAGCGCTTGACCACCTGTCTCAAGGGTGGTGAACAAATGACGGCACATTCCCCCTCCTCCTCCTCCAGCCTCAGAAAAGGCACACCGCTTCTCAGAAACTTCATCAAAGACGTTTCGAAACGACTCCTCCTCTCACAGTATTCGGTGTTGTCCCTCTTTGCTACTATACTTGACATTGGACCTTGACCTTGACGGCGAGAAGCAAGCGAGCAATCAGGTCCTCTCTACATCACTCTACGCCGCTCTATATCACACCACACCAGGGCACAAAGACAATGGAAGACCACAACTGGGTCCTCATCGCCCTGATCCTCATTTTCATGTACGAAAAGTCCCCTTCCTTCCCGGAGTACAGTGCGGTGCGGTGTGAGGCTGGACAGCCTGATTGATTGCTTTCTGTATTGATGCGGTGATGTTCGGAAACTCGCCGATACTTACACTGACTCGGACACACAAAAGCATCGCTCTCATCTTCTTCCGCCCAGAGAGCGACGTGCCAGTGTCCTCCCTCGGGCCTTGGGATGGGTTGTTAAATCCCAATCCCAGTGGCAGTTCCGACGCCGACGCTAGCGGACGGAGAATGGGGAATGGAGGACCAGGGCAAGGGGATCACAACAACCAGGCCGGCAAGTGCGGCGAGTGTTGAATGCTTGCTTGGTTGGCCGCAGCCTTTCTTCCTTCTTGACCATGACGCCACGCGTATCATACGCCCTGACCCAGTCCCCGGCGGCGGCGGCAGCGAACGTCCCTGGGGGGAAGAGGCGGCCAGAATCAACACTCAACATCCAGACGACGGACAGACCGAACGTCACGCATCGACGGATCAACTCTCAATCCTCAACCGAGGCGAGGCTAGGCTATACTCAAGAGGTGGCATTTCCCCGACCGGATAAGGATACTGGCAATGGACAATGGACAACGGAACACAGACAGACATCTGAGACTCCCGGGGTTTTGGGTCCAATTTGAGAGACTCGAATAGTCCAAGTGTTCGGCGGAGAACTCGGGGAAAAAATGTAGGGAGGAATGCAGCTTTCATTAGGGCTGGGCAGATATTGCTTTCATACTCTATGCTTCTGTGCTTTCATGCTACATAGTCATTCGTATTTGCTCGCTGTCAATGTCCACTTTCATTCCAAACAGTCCGCGAAGCCGAGTGAGTATCTTGACCCGATACCGCACAGCATGAGCGGTGAACACGGAGGGATATCCAACGTGCCGCAGCAGAAGCAGCCTGCTTTAACGACTGTGTTTCCTTTTCTCCTTGATTCGAGGTAATTTGCGGTCATTCCAAGTCTTAACATGGACCGATACGTGCTGGTGTTGGTGGGGTTGTCGTGTGATCTGCTTCAGCCTCTTCGACCGCCTCGTCCTTGTCGGTTGTGCGGAGCTCCCTGCGCATCACGTGACACCGCACTCCAATGGGTTCCATGCGAACGGTAGCCTTTTGACGTACGCCGACTGCAAATGGGTCTGCACCATTGTCATCCCGGACTCTGGAAGAGTGACATGCCACTCCGCAAGTCCCGGAGAGGTATTGGACGGTCTCACCAATGAATGGATCCTTGAGGAGAGAATCTTTGACTCGGAGAACTTCTTGCGGGGGGAAATCCGCAATCTCGACCACTGTCTCGCGGGTGTGCGAGCCAGGCTCTTTCCAAGTGATCCCTACACTAGAATTCATCCATGTGATCTTCCATTGTCCTTTGAGGTTTTATCCGCGTCGTTGTACACTTCGAATGTAGCTCGAGCCGGAGGGGTCAATAGGTAAGCGGGAGACAAGGGCTGCGGCCGCGGCGACCGGGTCAAACACGCACGCGTTGGAGGGAATGTGCGTCAGGCAAGGTATCGGGGAGGTAGTCGGGATATATCGCGAGGAATCTTCGTAGAGATGCATGCTGGAGTGGCTGCGAGTTGTGAGTTGACGACCGGACCGATCAAGGAGAGGATTATCTGCGGAACAGTCATTTCAGACTGTATTTTGACTCAGGGACTGAGAGGTACGTCTGTACTCAGTAGATTTGTCGCGGAGTCATCACTTTTGCTCATCTGCGAGGTGGTTGGTTGGATACTTCTATGCTTCCTTGCTGTGGGCTGGTCTGGTCTGGTCAAGGTGAATTGAGAGAACGTCCTTGGGTTTCGTTTCCGAGGGGCTCTCGTTGCTGTGCTCGACCCATTTGCATGGCAGCCCACGACGGAGGACTGCAAAGCATCCCAGAGTCGAGGTCCGTGGCCGTGAGACTCGTCATAATGTTGCAGCGTCGCAGTTTTGAGCACATGCCATGACTCGGTGAAGTAATCTCGCAGCCTCACGGCCTCAGAGGTCCGCATCGGGCAAGTCTACCGGAAAGTCTCTGCGTCATATGCTATGTTGGGTAACTTAGCCGGAAGCCTCTTCGGCTTTTTTCGACAACGCAACCAAGGACATACACAAATATATGGCCATGGAAAATTATGTGAAGATGGCCAACGCCTCCTCATTCAATTGCCACAAGCATTATAGCGATACAGTCCGAACGAGCGGGCAGAATTGGCCAATATCTCATCGAGTCTGGCATAGTAGGCGAGTCGCTGGCGCAAACAATCCAAGTCTTGGCATATTTGTTTGACGTGGCCATCAGTGCATACTTGGTATATTCGAGGGAGTTCGTTACGTCATGGCTTCAACGCGTCAGGTTGCTCCGCATCCTTGCTCAGCATGTGCTTGCAGCCTGGAAAGGACCCTGCCAGCGTCATGGCACAGCAGAGCTATGATGTAGCCATTCTCTCTCTACTCGCGTCCCCCGGGGGCCCTTTTATCGTCCTTCGCATCCCTTCCTTCTAGATAATGAGCACACCCCCCGAGAATCGCATTCAGCTTGTCGACAACAGCACCGAACCTCAATCAGCAGCGACCATGTCCACCGCACAAGAAGATAAGGAAACCGTCCAGCAACAGGGCACAGAAGGCCAGGAGAAGCAATGTACGTTGTCTATCGTTTCCCACTGCCTCTCCCACTCCCACTCCGACGACCCGTGGCAGCGTTAGAGTCTTGCTCACTGACTGCGTCCAGCGGGCTCCTGGGTATCAAAGCCACAGGAACTAGGCGACAGCGCGGGCGAAAAGGTCGAAAGCGCCCTCTCCCCCGTCGGCAAATACGTCGGCGCTGGCCTCGAAAAGGCTGCCGGTCCTGTGGGCGGCGTCGTTGATCCGGTCGTCGGCGGCGTCATGAGAATGGGCAAAGGCTGGGGAGACCAGCTTGGGGTCGGCTACGGGAACCACGAGGGCGGTCCGGCCAAACAAGAGGAGGCTGAGGGACAGAGAATGAAAGAGCAGATCGGAGGCAAGGAACAAAACGCAGATAATCCGCTGGGCTTGTGATCTTCTATCGAGATCCCCTCTGTCTCCAAAGAGGAGGCATTGGGTTGCAGCTGTCCGGAAGCGCTGTCAAAAAGCCGCGAGTGACAGGCATGCGGGTGATTGGCGTCGATCGCACACGGCTATATGTATACTAGGACTCGCAGGCTGTTGGCAAAAGAGCAGGATGGAGTTATACCTGTCACGAGCCTTGTGATGCGCGGGGTCGCTCCTTTTCCCTGTGGTGGCTTCACGCCTCCAAAACCGAGATGCAATCATGTAACGAGGCTACGGAACAAACATATCTTTTCTTTTGGAAGAGAGAACGCGAGATATATGACTAGGAAAGTTGAGGGCAGCGTGGCAGTACAATCTGCCCGGACCTCGCTCGCTCCGCACTTCGACAGTGTCGTTATCAAAAGGACTCCATCTTCAACGTCCCTGGACTCGAGACCACTTCATCTTCATCCACCAGCGTCGCCGGGGTTAGTTCATATCTCGTTCACCATACGTATATATATATTTCCGTACCCGAGGGGCGAGCGCATAGCGACGCTGTATTCTTCGCCGACCGACGGCATTCGCTACAAGAATTTGCGATTTCAGACCCGACTTCCTATGTACGCATCGATTCAAGGAGAGGTTGTCATGCATGTTCGTTCTCACCGTCACTGCCGTCTTTGTCAATGGCCACTTGCTGTCCAATGAACTCCTTGGCGCTTGAATGCCTCTTTTCTGTCCATCGAGCGTCATCGGTCATTTGGAGATCACTCTGCTACTCGAGATCTGACATCCAAGTCTGCTGCAGAATCCAAGTAGAGGATGCTTTTGGGCTTCCAGATCCTAATGGTGGCCAGCAAGCGTCTCCTTTGATCTGAGTCTACTCGACGTGGTTTACCGGTCAAATCTTTCATTTGGGTCTACGGTTCCGTACTTGCGCTTCAGCCGACCGTGCCGAGGCCGTTTGGTCCGGTGGTCTGTCTGTGTTGGAGAAACATCGGCCTTCCGTGACTTGTGTGGGCGGGTCAGGTGAGGAGAAGAGCGTGAGAACACATCCGATCAAGGACATTTCCACGGTATAATACAGTGTTTTACTACAATTTATACCCATCACCCCGAGATCTTTGAGAACATATGTGACAGGGACAAATCTTGACCCTCTGACGCAACTCTGACTAGTCCTTGCTCTTGCACGGGGTCTCACTACGAGATATTCTGTCAGTCAAGTCAAACTGTCACGGGAAGCGGCTTCCCGAGCTGCGCAGCGGTGTATTCCCCCGCCTCCCACGAGCCGGAAAGTACAACGGATTCGTGCGAGGAACCCAGCCAGACAAGCAAGCAAGCCAACAACAGGAGCAGGATCCCAGCCAGCCTTTGAGTGAGTGAGTGACAGGCAACGGAACAAAGATTCCCCCAGAGAAAAAATGCCGATCGATTACGTCTTCCCGAAACCACCACGGTCGTTGGCCGGAAAAGTGGCCATCGTCACGGGTGCGGGCGCCCACGGCGACGGAATCGGCAACGGGCGTGCCTCTGCGATCCTCCTCGCGGATGACGGGTGCAAGGTTGTCTGCGTGGACCGTGACATCGCACTGGCGCAGCGCACGGTCGAGATGATCGAGGCCGAGGGCCACCACGGGGCGGCGATCGCGATCCACGCCGACGTGACGGACGAGGCGCAGTGCAAGGGCATCGTGGACACGGCACTCGACAAATTCGGCAGGCTGGACATCCTGTTCAACTGCGTGGGCGTTGGCGGCGCGGCGGGCACGGCCGTCGAGGTGGACATGGCCGCGTGGGCCAAGTCGCTGGAGATCAACGTGTCGAGCATGGTCATGATGGCCAAGTACGCGATCCCGGCCATGGCCAAGAACGACGACGCCTGGGGCTACCGCGGCAGCATCATCAACATGGGCAGCGTGGCCGGTATCCGCGGCGGCACAGGGCACCTTCTTTACCCAACCAGCAAGGGCGCCGTCGTAAACATGAGCCGCGCCATGGCCGCGCACCACGCCCCGCAGGGCATCCGCGTCAACTGCGTCTGCCCCGGCATGGTCTACACGCCCATGATGTACGCGGCCGGCATGACTGACGAGGCCCGCGAGGCCCGCAAGAACCGCAGCCTGCTAAGGACCGAGGGCACGGGCTGGGACGTCGGCTGCGCTGTACGGTTCCTTGCGGGGCCCCAGGCACGGTGGATTACCGGGCTGATCATGCCCATCGATGCGGGGGCCACGGCGGCGGTGGGAACGGATCTTCCGCGGTCGGCGAGTGTTAATGGTTGAAAACAACGGCCAGGGAGCATTGGGGGAAAAAGGGCGGAGGGGAAGGGGGGTGGGTTTTGCATGCAAATGGTCGTTTTTTCGCGTGGTCAGGGTTGGGCGATAAGCCCTGTCACACATCAGTGTCTCATATAGATCACATACGAGCCCGTTTCTCGGAACTGGAGGGGGTTTTGTAGCGAAAGACGAAGCATTGCGTGGACAAAGGATACGCGGTTGAATAGGCGAGGCTGTTATGCCACACAACGCCTCGCGTTGATATCACGTGACAGATCGCAGAAGAAGCGGAGAAACCAACTACCTCGTCCACGGGTACAAAGCCCTACTTGTACGGAGTATTTGATCAGGAAGAGTAAATAGCGATCGAAGAACAGATCAGAAACCCCTGGAGATCATCCGTTTTCCATATTTTTTCCCGAAATGAAGCGTAACATTGCTTTTTGGTCTAAGAAAACACCGACGCGCCACAGTGTCGCTTTCACCGTCACTGCGCCTGGGACGCTCGGCTCGATCTTGAACTCCTGATACTTCCAAGTTCCGATCCAGTGATATTAATTTCCCATGCCCTTTCCTTGATATTCGCAATTTGCATTTGCATTCCCACGCTCGAAAACCGAAAACCCGAAAGACTCCCCATCAGGCAATTCGTCACAGCAGGACAGTTTTGGTTCATTACATCATTTCATTACATGCCGCCACCTTCCATCCTCCTCTTCTGGTGCGCTCTTCCCATCTCCCTCTTCCTCTCCTTCTTCCTGTCACTCTTCCTCTTCTTGTCTCGCGCAGCCTTCTCCGGCTCTGCGACCTGCTCGATCCGCCGCTTCGCTCGACGTTCCTCTCTCCTCTCGCGCATCGTCTTGCTCACTTCCGTGACTGCTTTGACGTACGCCGCGTCTCCGAGCTTCTTCTGCATTCCCGCCATGACTTCGTGGGCCAGTTCGATGAGATTCTGGTATGTTGCGGCAAATGTCGGGTCCGCTGAGCGCGGCGGGATCGTGTTGGTGTCCGTTAGATGCTGGAGGGGCAAGAGGACGGCGTTGACTGTGGCGTTGGACATTGAAAGCGCGGGGATGAGATTTGAGAGGAGCCGGAGCGATGACTTCTTCGGGAGGAGCGCTGCCGATGTGAGTGTCGTCGTTTCTCGACGCAGAGTGCGTGCGAGCTGATCGAGCAGGTATTGAGTTGCCCGTATGCTGTGCCCTCCCTCCTCAGCGCTACTATCCTCGTCGGAATCCGCCTCCTCGGCCTTCTGTGTTTCGCTGGCGTTCCGGCCAACTTCGATCCCTAGCGAGTTCGCGTTCAAGTATTGACCCAAAAACAGAAGGATCTGCTCCACCTCCATGCTCAAGTTGTCGTTCCCGATTGTATGCCGCAGGATTCGAGTGGTGTCTTTCAAGATGCCGAGCAAATCGTCCGAGTCCAAGGAAAGACCGTGATCACAGGGGAGCGGAATCCTTCCGCGGGCGGTTGAGCCACAGTGGCTGAAGAATTGATTGATCAGGCTCGCCGATGTGCTTTGTATCCACGGGTTGGGATGGGTCAGAGACGGCCATACATGCGACCACAGGGGTTGCTGCATCGAGTTCAACGCTGCGGCTGGGTGCCGTCCCACCAGCTTCGACAGAAGCTGCAACGACTGGAATCGAATCTCCCACACCTCCTCGTCGGTCACGCTTGTTACTTCGAGGGATTTGTTGATGTTGGTTCGAATCTGGACAATTTGGTCTTGGGTCAAAGAAACATCCGTGTCTAGGAGGATGGTGTATGCCTGCATACTGAGTTGCTTCAATTTGCTATTCTCCCCTTGGTCGACCCAGCTGTCGAGAAGTGCCAACGTGTCTTTCAGGCTGTTGCCTTCCACCAGGGAAAAAAGCTGGCCCAGGAGAACTCCGGCAAGCTTTCGACACTGTTCGTTGTCATCGTTGACCATTCGGAGAAGGATGGGAATGAAGAACGCCTGGATCAACTCCTGCGCCGCTTCTCCTTTCATCTTCCCGACCAAGGCATAGATGGCTTCCATGATTGACTGCCTGCCCTCGGGATGCTCATATTCAAGGTTCGTCATCAGAAATCTCTGTTGTTTCGACCATCTAGAAGAGCTCTGAGGATAATCAAGCAAGAAATGCACGAAAAGACCTCGTGCGACGTCTCGTGCCCCTTTTGACTGGTTGGTTACCATCATCGCTCCGATCTTATCGGCAAGATCATAAAGCTCCGGCAACTGGATCTTCCTTGCCATGACTGCCCGGATGAAGTTGAAAGTCACCCCTTGCCTGTCGGGTTCTGCAATGTCCGGAGCGATGCGGTGCAGGATTTCAGCGATATCGGACTCTCTGACCACAACACTCTTGCGTTCACGAAGAATTGCCGCCAGGAATTTCAACGCAGCCTGTGCCCCTTCCTCGTTGGTACTCGTTGAGTTTCTCACCATCTTGACGGCTTCGGCGATGTACAAGGGTGAGTCTTGCTCAAGCTTTGGCATGGGTAACTTGACAACGGCGGACAGCAAACGCAAAGCGGAGATCTTGACGTCTTCTTGACCTTCGATCAACGCATCGCCGATGATGGGAAGGAAGCCGTGAACGTTTTCCGCCGTAAGAGTTTCTGCGGATCTTTGAAAGGTCGACCTCACCAGATCCAAAGCAAACTTGGCCAGTTTGTATGACAAGGCTGAATTCCGGCTCTGGTTTGATTTACCGGTCGAGAAATCGACGAGATATCTCTTTCGATTCATCTCCTTGTGGCCAGGCACTTCGCTGGGACCAGTCTCCTTCTGTTGATAGAGCGACTGAATCAGTTGGTATGCAAATGTCAAGACATCTCGCGGACTGGCTGACGGATTCTGCGACAGACTGCTTCCGATCCTGCGGAGGAGCTCATCGACTTGTCGGACTTGCTTTGCCGACAGATTGCCAGACAGAACGATCTGAATTGGTGCCACAAGCTTTGACGCAAACGGGATACTGATTGAACGAGCCAGGAGTTCCATTGAGTCAGAACTCTTACTGCTTTTGACCTCCTTCATGCTGCTGACATAGTCTTGATTGTCCTTTTCTTGCCCGACGGCACCAAAAATGTCATCCATGATAACAGAGACGAGCTCTTCGCAGCAGTAATCCAGCGCACCGTGTTCGATTTGAGGAACCAGCGCCACCAGGATGGCATGGAGGGTGTAAGAGACGACATGCAACTGATACCCTTTGGTGAGTGCCGTGCGCATTTCCCTGAGCACGAACTGCAAACTGGTGGGGCCAAGCAAAAGAACGATCTCGCAAAGGGCTTTGCGTGCGGCATCGCGGGATTCCTGAGACCTGCTTCGGAGGATCTGGGCGATATCAAGAATAATTGGGCTGGCGAGAAGTGGAATTTCCTCAGGCGGGAGCAGAGTGATGAGCTTGATCGCCACGACGGCAAAAGGAAGACGCAAGCTGATCTCGGTCTCGTCTTTGTAGTGGACAAGGTCTGCAAGCTTGGGGATGAACTGACTCCTCAGCTCTTTCTCGACCGTGGTTGTGCTCGGAAGCGACATTGCGAGGTAAGGTATCGGTCGATCTTCAGAGTTGGAGTTGGTAGGGCGACGGCTATTCGCAGATAACAGCGCGTCAACTGCACATGTCAGAAGTCGATGGTTGGCCTTGGGCTTGCCCGAGGAGACGTCGAGGTCATTCTTGTACCGGCGGAACAGCATCCTGAAGTTCTTCCAGTCGATCCATTCCAGCAGCGTGCCAATCGCAGTGATACTCTCGCCTTTGACGCTCTGGGCCGTCTCATCGGTTCTTGGATCATAAGCGAACATCTTCAACAGAGGAATGAATATCTCCACAATGTTTGCCGCGTTGATCTGGCCTTTCTCGACCTCGGATACAAGGCGTCGAATCGCTCGGAGACGACGGTGGGCTTGGATATGCAGGATGTTGGAGAAGAAGGACGCTTCCTCGTCGTTTCCGACCAGGAGGGGTGTCATGTTCCTCAGATCTCCGTTGTTGCGAGCATGCCGCACAAGAAGGCCGAGGAGAGTGACAAAGTCTGCCCTTACGATTTCTGATTCATGGCTCATGCACTTCTTGGTCACGGCGAGGACCGAGTTCACCATCGTGTCGTTCAAGTGGGGATTTTCGGCTTCGCAGAATCTGACAATCATCTGTTTGAGGCAGTCCAGGGCATTCGACCTTATCGTGAGATCGTCACTGGTTCTCAGGAAGAACAGCAGGTTGTAGATGATGGGCTGATATATCGAGCCCGTGGCGGTGAGCTCCAGGGCCGGGATCGATTGAAAAGCCTGCAGCCGCCTGTCATAGTCGATCTCATCGAGTCGTTCCGCTGACATGGCATTGACGTCTTTGCACAGTCGCGCGATCTGAGCCAGCTGGACATTTGAAGTAGCCAGCATTTCCAGGACGTCGCATAGCAACTGACGATTCGCCTGGTCCTTGAAGTAATTGAACAAGGACGAAACCAACGTCAAAAGGTCCAGATGCGAGCTCTCGTCCAGAGTGGCGTCGACGGCCAAAAACCTCTGGACAGATAGCAAGAGTTTGCCTTTGACATGCGGAGGGACCAGGAGCTTGTCGTCGGAAAGAAGGGCCGTCAGCAACTTGACGATGGACTGTCGGGACTCCGGAGACTGCGCGAGGGGGGCGACTTTGCCCAGAATTATTGTCGTCGTGGCGATGACGGTGCTGGAGCCGGAGATGATCCTGGCGCGCGACTGCTCGAGCAGGGTGGAGAGCGAGGTGAACAGGCCGTTCGCATCGGTCATGAGGAGCTTGCGGGCTTTGTTCGACCATGTTGGGTCTTCATCCTCGATGAGATCGGCCAGTGGAAGGGCAAATTCGGCGAGGATGAACTGCTTCACGGGTTCCGGCGTCGAGGTCGCACCTAGAGTCTGCCATATGACGGCCAGCACTCGTTGGTCATAGTCAACAAGGAAGTCGATATAGTCCGGTGAACGGGCCCAGGTCGAAAACAAACGCAGCAGCCCGGAAATCCCCTGGCTGGTCTCCGAGGCGAATATGTCGAGACGCGGACTTATCGCACATGAGAAGAGGCTGCGGAGATATCGAGGCCACTCGACTGCGTGGCAATGCTGGAAGAGAAGGGCGAGGCACTGGAAGCAGCTCCTCCGTATATTTCGTGTCAGTGCCCCTGTGCCGGTCTGTTTCACCCCGGCGGTCTGGCCTTGATGGGAAGCCTGGACGCAGAACATGACCGCATCGATGACCTGTTCGCCGTATGGGTGAAAGTCCTGCTGGAATGTCTCCATCATGGACAACAACAACCGAAGAAATCCATATTGCTGGTCTTCCGGAATATATGCTTGGGTAAGGCATGCGAGATCCGGCGCGTCTGCTTGGACCTTGACGTCTTTCAGTTTGCCGAGGGCAATATCGAGAAACGTCGAAACTTCGTTCCCGGGTAACGCGAGGAGGATGCGCAGCAATGATTTCCGCCTGGCGTCCTGAGAGCCCGATGTCCCTGCTCGCCCGACAATTATACCGAAGAATAGCCGGAGAATGACAGGGATGACGGTGTCACGATCCGCTGGTCTGACATGACCCTCTTCCTCGGTAGAGGCCAAACATTTGCCAATGAAGGAAGTCTCCGGTTGTCCATCGGCCAATTGGAGCAGGATTGCCTCGTATTGGACGAGTACGGGATCCCTCCACGTCAGTACGGCCTGGAGGGCGAGCTTTCGAATTGCATCGTTGCCATTGCCCAAGAGATCGATAAGTTTCTCATGCACTTCGGATGATCTGAAGAGAGCACGAGGATTCAGGAATTGACCGAGTAGAGCCAGCATCGCCTTCCTGTCTCGCAAAGACCACTCGTGGTCGTCGATGTCGGGACTCAATGTGTGCGACGATGTCGAAGTGTCGGAGCCGGGCTTGGGTTGCAGTTGAGCACGAGTAAAGGGTGCGGCGAGGAAGATAGGAACCAGTGACCGGGATCGGCGCTCAGCTGAGCCGGGCATCGCGGACAGAAGCTGGAGAGCCAACGATCGACCGTCCGGAGGTGGTCTGTCGGGATTTTCCAATCGATGGTCGTTTTCGATCAAGCTCCGAAATCTCTCACCGGAATTCTCGAAATCGCTTGAGACCGAAGAGGACAATGAATCGAGGTGGGCAAGGTTTGAGCATTCAAAGCAAGACAAATGCGACTTCGAGTCCGGGACGTCTTTTTGAGGCAGTTGCATTGAATCGGCGGGCGATTGTAGCCACTGCAGGGCAACATTGACCACGGTTTCTTCAGAGAACGTCGTATGGACCATTTGGGAGAGGAAGTTGCAGACTTCCAGCCGTGTTTGATCATGGTAGTGTGGCATCAGGCCGCAACAGAATAAAGGGATCAGGTCTTGGAACGACGAGTCCTCTGGAATGTGTTTTTGCTGATGCAGAAGCCGTCTGAGTAGCATGGCAATTTTTCGGGCGTCGGCGGGCGTGTATGGAGTGTTGAGAATATCCAGCGTGAGGCGAATGGTCTCGTGGAGCCACGACCGTACACGCAAGCAGCCAAGGCCGCGAAGCAATTGCGCAGAGCCCTTTTTCAGGCTGAAGGACGTCGACAAGAGATTTCGCATCAGAATGCGGCGCACATTATCGAAGACCCGAGACTCAACCCCTTCGACCCGAGCAACTTTCCCAAATAGACGGCCGGTCGCCTGTACGAAAGCAGGCAGGTGGAAAACAACCGGGGACAGTTTCGGGACACGTGAGGCCAGATCATTGAGCCGCGGGTCATCAGCGGGTGCGAGCTCGACGAAGGTATCGAACCCCCAACCCAGAACTGTGCGTTGGCGAAGGTCGAGATCACTGCTGACGTTTTCCAAGACGTGTGTGAGTAGGGCGTGGAAGGCGTTCAGGGATCCAGTAGTGTATTCGGAATCACCGAAGAGGCAAGCACCTTTGGAGAAGCGAAGTCTTCCAGCAAGGTGCTCAATATCAGAAGCATCCTCGTCTTGTTGCTCCGCTGACAAGTGACTCAGAATGAAACTCCCGAAATCCGCCGGACAAGTTATTGTCCTGGCGTCCGCGGAACGACCAAAGCCAATCTTGTTCTGCTGAAGTCTTTCCAGCATGTAGTAGAGGCTGACTTCGTCATCGGACCAGTGCTTCGCAATGTATTTTTGGAGTTCTGGAAGGACAAAGTTAGTGAACCTCTCCGGCCCAAGCTCGGCACAAGCGGTGGAAAAGGCATAGAATTCGCGCGGCGAAAACTGTTCAGCGGCCGAATCCAACAAAGGCTGGGACACGGGCAACAAGTGATCCAAGGGAGCGTATTGGATCACTGCGGCGATGGTGATTGCGAGCATGGAATTGGTATGCATTTTTTCTTCGTTGAGAGACCATGCGATTGCAGCTATCACTTGGAATGCCTCGATGACGACCGTCCATTCACTGATCCTGGATCCTCGTTGTGTCCCTATGATGACAAGCAAAATCCTCAGGGCGAAAGATATCTGGGAAGCCTCTTCCGAGGCTGCAGACTCCCGAGCAGCATCCAAGACGACGTCCTGAATTGGCTTGAACGTGTCGCTGGTTGTCTCATGGATGAGCGCAGTCAGAATGCCATCCACCGCTGACTGAACCTGCGCTTGTTGCTTCATGAGCCGAGCGCAGTCTAATAGACACTGTACTAACGATGGAGCACACGAATGTAGCTGTTGGTCGACCCCGCGAGCGCTCTCCACGAAGAGAGACATGACGCCAAATTGATATGGACTGAAGTCTGTGGCCCTCTCTTGCTCCGAAAGGACTTTCAGAAGATGCTTGACAGCGAGTACCAAGGGTGATCCCCGTGTGTGATGTGCGATAGCGGCTTTTCTTAGCAGGAATGAGAGCGATTCTGCACTGAATCGAACAATGTAGTCCTTTCTGAAGGAGAGGTATGGTATCATGATATCGAGGAGGGGGCGTAGGTCTCGTAGGAGGAGTTTGGACAGGTATTTGAACAGGAACGCCAGACAGTTGAAACACCGCTCGACAACCTCGGTCTTGTCGGCGGCGGCAGCAATCTCTGCAACAAGCTGGACGGTTCTTTGGAAATATGGTTCGAATCCATGATTGAGGTCATGGGCAAGTTGGGCAAGGAGGCTGAGTAGAGGCTCGAGGGCGAGTTCGTCTCGTTTCTCGATGTGTTCGGCAAGGATCTCGAAGATTTTGTCTGCATGGTGAAGCACTTGAGGGAGATTTTCGCAGAGAGGGCTCGCCTTATTGAGGAAGCTGGTGAATGTTGCGGAGAGGTTCAGCTCCGCCCACCCTTGCAGCGCTGTGTGGAAAAAGCTTTGCAATACGTCTGCGTCATTTTTCGAAGGCTTCACTCTTCTCACAGTGTGAACCGGGTCAATCTTCAACTGCTCTATTCGTTTCGTGAAGGATTCGAAGCGGTGTCTCTTGGTCGAGGCGGTGGCTTTCTTCGGCCGGCGCGAGACGGAGGAGCGGAAACCGGGAGGAGTGGACGCCATGGTAGGAAATCGCCCATCAAAGTATGTGCAGCATCTGCGGGAAGCCGCGCGGGCTTAGCTTTGAGGCTGAATCATAGCGAAAAAGCGCGAATGCCTGCAACTTGCGCAGACAATCTTTGTCTGAGGCTGCGGCTAAAAAGTTGAGATGCGACACGAAAAATTTCCCCGCATTTAGTTTTGGGGTGTGTGAGGATAAATGCGTCACCGTATACAAAGTTCGGTGGAGTTTTCGGCTGAAAAGGCATCTTCACATGTTTTTGTCACTACGAGCCTCACGGATCTCTTTGTCGCAACTCCATCCCGCCGTCACTCTCACTACAACTCCCCGTCTCATTCACGGTCTCTTCTCTCTTGTGTTCATATCAGCATGAGACATTGTTGGTTCTTCCATTTTTTCACGAAGGCGGAAGAACGCTTAGACAGCTGAGCAAACCGGGTGATTTCTCCCACATCCTCTTCAGGCCCTCGCCCTGTTTCTCTCTAGAGCAGCCATGGGGACCGCAAAAATGTGAGTCAACTGTGACGTGAAGTTGCATCAGGATCGTCGCTGACCCTTGTAGCCTTGTTGTCGGGAGCATCCGTGGCGAACTGAAGAAGGCCTTCGACAAGATCTCGAAACTGCAAGCCAAACACAACTTCTCTTTGGCCATTGTCGTCGGCGACCTTTTTGGTTCTCCTAGTGATGAAAGCGACAAAGGCGACGACGGCGAGCTGAAGGAGTTACTCAGTGGTCAGATCGACGTGCCCCTTCCGACGTATTTTTCTGTCGGCGACTCTCCATTCCCGGACACTGTCAAAGCAAAGCTCGAAGATGGCGATCTCTGTTCAAATCTGTTCTATCTTGGTCGCAAAGGGACCATGACCACTACAGATGGTGTGAAAATCGTGTCACTCGGAGGCCGACTCAAGCAAAACGAAGCTTCCCTCACCGAGAAACTCGGCCCCTATGACCCCTGGTATCTCGACAGCGAGGCAAGAGGTCTTCACGGCGCCCACTCCGCACATATTCTCATCACAAATCAGTGGCCGGCAAATATCAGCAATGGGTCGCAGATCGAATTGCCTCCGGCGCTCGACGAGACTACCGGCAGTCAGTCCATCGCCAATCTCTGCCAGGCACTCAAGCCATGGTATCATTTCTCCAGCAGTCCAAGTGCCTTGTGGGAGCGGGAGCCCTTCAAACATATCATTGAGTACACCTCGTATGATCAACCAAGCATCACAAGGTTCAAGAGTTTGCCGAGCGTGTCGGCACCCACGAAAGAGTGGATGTCGGCGTTCACGCTGGACACTTCACGCCCTCCAGCGACGGTGGATGCTCCGCTTGAGTCACCATTCATCCGGTCTTCGCCACCAAGGAAGCGACAAGCCGCCGACGACAGAGCTTCATATCGAGACGGCAACGGAGACGGCCATGGGCCACGGAATCGCAAGCGTGCCCGAAAAGGTCTGCGCAATGACCCCAACGACTGTTTCATGTGCCTCAACAAGCCCGGTGCCAAGACCCATCTCGTCGTGTCTCTAGGGGACGAAAGCATGGCCACAGTCACCAGAGGCCCGTTACCGATGCCGTCAACATTTCCGCAGTTGTCCTTCACCGGCCACGTCATGATTATCCCATACTACCACGCGGCGGATGAGTTGGCTCACGGAAAACGATCACCCGAGGAGATGACTGCCGAATTCAACGAAATGAACCGGTTCCGAAAGGCTCTGAGTGCCATGATCGGAGCGAAAAGCCACGGCCAGCTGGGCGCCGTCTGCTGGGAAGTCAATCGAACCGGCATCCGGCATTTCCACTGGCAACTCATTCCCTGCCCCGTGGATCGCATTAAGACGGGCATGGTCGAGGCTGCATTCAAGGTGAAGGCATCCCAGTACGGCTACCCGGACTTCCAGTCCTGTGCTGCAAACGCCCAGCTCCCCCAGCGCTCGGACTACTTCCGCGTCTGGACCTGGTTGACCGATCCCGTCCAACTCGCTGACCACGCCACCGGCACCGCGAATGACGGCGACGACGTGGGCGTGGCGAGATCCATCTTCTTCCCCTTGCCCACGGATCAAAAGTTCAACATCTGGTTCGGGAGAGAAGTCATGGCGGGTTTGCTGCAACTGGAACACCGAGTGAATTGGATGGACTCGATCCTAACCAAGGACGGCAGCGATCAGGCTGCGGAGGAAGAAGACGCGGCTGGTCTCCGGGCTGATTTTGAGGAATTTGATTTTGCCATGAAATGATGAACCCTTTCAGAGGCAGATATGAATGGACGGGGGGCTTGCATGAGACGCGGAGCTGTTTTGGACTCCAGCATTGGGGAGATTTGACATATATGATATCGAGATACCCATTCAAAGTCGGCTTTGGTCACGTTTTGTGCTGCGGGGACGATCGAGAAATATCTCGGACTTTGGGTTTTCAGAGACAAGCCACGGGATTGAACAAAGGCACTTTGAGCAATTCAAACATCAGGCCTCAATAGAATCACTGAGATGGCACAAGAAGTCATTCGCACAGTAGAGACAAGTATCTGGCAATACAGGAGACTCAAGTGGCTAAATCGGCCTGTTCTCATCAAGAAAAACTCCCTGCTCAGCCTCCGCGCCCAAGACCCGGCGTCATGTACCTTGTATGCGAGAATCTGCGCCAGTTCCACGAGAAATGTATATAGACTCCATATCTGCCCTTCCTCGCCACTTGTATAAATGTGTTCCGCGACCCAACTCTTTAAATTGGTGGAAACAAGGCACATGCTCTTCAAAGCACGGATCTGATCGGAGCTCCCTGTTCGATCGAGGATCAATCTTCAAGGACTCGAGGATCTCGTTGGATCGTTCATGATGCACAGCGTAACGAGAATGGCAAAGGTGTCAAAGGTGTACGGAACCACAACACGGTCGAGCGGTCAGAGGAAGACTTCGAGGGGAGATGACTCGTCCGCAGGTGAGGGGGGGGGGGGGGGTTCTAGCGGGGGTTCGGGTCTGTTCTGTTCCTCTCTTCGAGGAACTCGGCGATCGACATCGGAGATGGAACACCTAAAATGGAAAGAGTGAGTGCACGCACACTGAGGCGCAGGAGGTCTTTGGATCACGCCGGAGCGAGAGCTGGGGGAATCAGGGCCGTTGTCCGAGGTCGACGATGGGGCAGGTCTTTCTGCATCACGGCTCTTTCAAGGTTGTACGCATTGAGCTTGACACCAAGTCTAGGAGATAGAAACCCGCTTGGATGTCTTCATCCCTAATTGCGCATGCCATGGACGCAGGCGCCATTGTTCCGAGTACTGGCGCTGGAAGTAATTGTCCTGCTCTGCCTGCGGCACGGCCAAGATAAAAAAAAATTTCCAGCCTTGTTGCGTCACGTGGGAAACGAGGCTGAAGGATCCACGTGATCCTCGGCACCACCAGGCTGCGGTCTCTATCAGAATGCCCATTCGATTCAACGCCGTCGGTCCGTTTTCCTTCACCATGATGCAGGTCACCACTGACAAGGTGCAATATCAACCACTTGTCAGGTCTGTCATCTGGTCCTTCAATCGTCGCCGAGACCTCACAGGCGCCGCACGCTCTTCCTGTCCGAGACCGTGTTATTGTTGCCGCAGTCGGCACATTCCTGAGAAGAAAAGCATGAGAATGCTCTCGTGCCTGCAGTGGAGGAGTTGATGGACATGGAGGGAAATTCACAGCCCTCTTACAATCGGTAGAATATGGGCGGCTGCGTGACTGGGGCGAGCTTTGAGGTATTGTGCCAGTTGCAGGGGATGTTCGAGACGACCAGGGCAGCATCTGCAGGCCGGGAGTTTGACAAATACACGCGGTACATGGATGTGAAAAGGTAACTTGGCATACAGCCCAGTGAATCCGGGGCGATACATAGCATCTTCTCAATAAAGCTCACGCCCCTGTGTTCCTGCAGATCGTCCTCTTTCTCTCGTAGAAAACCAAACCAGTATGCGAGGGACTACCTCCATGAAGGTTCATTGCCAATTCCCTTGTTCCAATGAATGATAGCACGCTCACTTATGTCAGGCCTACCACTTGGCTTCCTTGGTGGCCAAGAAGGCCTTCAAAATGCTCACTCTCTTCTCCAAGGCTGTCACCCACTTCTCCAGCGCTTCTCTTGTAGCCTCTGGATCGGTTCCCTCTCCACCCAATCGTGCATAGAAGTCCTTCCGGTAGGGAGTTGCACTCATGGCAGCGCTGAAGATAGGTTTGATCAACAGTCCATGATGCGGGGCCAGCGTGTTCTTGTAGCTCGCTCGAAACCCGTCCGCAAGCTCCTTGTTTGGCTTGGGTTCCACTGCTTTGACGGATGCGTTGGTGGTGAGGTCAGACCGCAGTGCCTGTGCCGTGAAATCCAATCCACGAGTCAGCCACACAAGCCCTTCGGTGGCCTTGTGGGATTTGGAAGCCAGCTCTGTCTTGACCAGCAACTGCACTGTAGTCGAACCCTCAGGGGCGGCTTTATAACGGTCACGAATCTTGGTGACGTTGCCCATCATATCATTCTTTACAGGAGTGAAGGCTACCGAGCCTAGAAGATCGAAGAGGGTAGTGGTTGCTTCGGAGGCATCGAGGAATTCGAGGGTGGAAATGCCGTCGTCGTCGGAGACAGGGACGTCGTCGAAGTGCACTTTGTGGGTGTCAAACCAGGTTTTGCCTGGTGGGATTTTCGTGCCCGACATTATCAGACGTAGAGAGACGATCAGCTCAATGGAGAGAGTATACAGAGGTGTAGAGCTGCGAAAAACAAAACAAGGGGACGTGGAAGTGACGGTGAACATCTGGTAGAGGGGCGCATGCACGTGTGCCAATGGGATTGGGGTGGGTTCAAAGTGCAAACAGAGCAAACATTGACACAGGTGACGCTGACGTCATCGGAGAATAAGGGTTCGGTTTTGCCTGCTGGACGCGCATGGTCGAGGGCTTGGAAAGCGAGGTTTGAGCAGCAGATTGGTGGCGCAGTGTCTGCTGCTTCCTCTCTGGAGCTCGAGGACGAGTCAATG